AAGAAGTTTGTAAAAAAATGAATCCGCCTCAACAATATAGAACTTATTTACATCAGCTTGCTCGAAAAAATATCATGATTTATAAAAACCGCCTAATAGGACGTTTTCATAAACAAAAGTCCTAACCATAAAAAAACCCAATATTGTACCTATCAATTTTTATGTAGGTATACCTTGCAATCGCTGAAAACTATCTGTCCTACATTGAGTAGGCACTTTTAGGTGGCTCGTCTCAAGGGCTATATTTTAATAAAAAGCTGTTAGAAATTCCGAACCTCTAAAGGGGTAGAATTAAAATTATCATACCTACTTTAAAGTCAAAAAGGTTACAATTGCCTGAATATTCATTAGAAGCCTTCCAAAGTCGGTTTGGAAAACTGTCTTCCTGATAAGGTTTTATTAAAATTAAAACTGTGAACGTCAATATCTTTAGATCTACCACAGTTTAAACTTATCGCAAAAACGACTATAAATTCGTCACTCTCATCAGAAACACACCGTGAGTTTTGCGCGTCTATTGTGCCGAATATTTAAGCGATTCAGATTTTTCCCAAACACGATAAACTTGATCTATGTTCGACATTGTTACATATTATATTTTCATATTGAAGTCAAGGGGTAATTTTCTGCTTGCCAGAAATAATTTTTCTTTGCATTAACAGTATAATCTCCAAGTTTTAAAATTTTTAATATTCGGAATAAATTACTTAAGCATTTGTATAAAAAATGTAACTGCAACACTAGCAAAATGATTCTCTTGAAAATTGTTTCAGGCTCAAAATATGTTAACTGTTTTAAATTAATAAATTTAGGAAACAGTTCTAGCCATACAATAATTTTAACTAAAGAAGAAGTTAAAGTAATAACTTACTTCAACAAATATGGATTGAAACGAGTCTCATTGAATTTGTTGCTGCAGGTATACAAGTAATAAGGGATAAAATCAAGACCTTCTCCCAGTTAACAGTATGCAGTGCAAGAGCAGATGGCAACCCATGCCCAGCTTTAAAGATAATTATTCTTGATGAGGCTGATGCCATGACGCAAGCTGCCCAGGCAGCGTTGAGGCGCACTATGGAAAAAGAAACCAAAACCACAAGATTTTGCCTTTTGTGCAACTATGTTTCGAGGATCATTGAACCTCTCACTTCCAGGTGCACAAAATTTCGTTTTAAGCCTTTAAATCAGTCTTTCATCTTGGAGAGATTGCAAGCTATTTGCAAGCAAGAGAAGGTCCTGGTAGCTGAGAATATACTGAATGTTTTGGTGCAAGAAAGTGGGGGAGACATGAGAAGGGCTATCACTGCCCTGCAAAGTTGTGCAAATCTGCAAGGAAAAAGTACGTTCCCATTCAACGCTTGTGCAACTGTTGTTATCTGGATTTGAAATTTTAGACAGTCACATCACTTTGGAAAACGTTTACGAGGTTCTCACAGTAGTCCCGGAAAAGTGGGTTGCAAACTTCTTGGATTTATGTAGAAAGCCCACAGACATCAAGCAAATTATTCAATTTATCAACGAGTTGGAACAACAAGCTTATCCCACTCATAAAATATTTGAACAGCTAAACGTCTTGCTGATTGAATCGGATACAATAAGCGAACCGCTCAAGGCAGAAATAGGCGAATACCTTGCTGAGTCCAGTTTCCGCAGTACATGCAGTAGGGCGGACTTCACCCACTTGTTAGATTTTGCTGTTCACACTCAAGAAATTCTTACAGTGGATCCAGAAGCGAGAAAGTGGGAACAACAGGAAAATGCCAAGTGTACAACCATCCAAGGTCTTGTGTAATTTTCAAAAATGTATTTAATATTTAACTGTTAGAATACAAAAAAATAATGTTTTTTTCAAGGATCAATTTATAATAATATACAAATAATTTTACGGGTTTCCACAGATCCGTTATAATTTCACTTGCTTATCTTCAGTATGCTGGCTAAGTCCAGTCTCTTCCGATTAATGCATTTCTCAATATATGGTTCGAGGTCCAATTCAAAAATTGGGCAATTCTAAAAACAAAAACAGACCATGGATCAAAAAGCTGTTACTGAAAAACATCGCTTATGTTATTTGCCCTGCATAAATAAGATTATTTAACTTGTAGGAAGACTGGTTTACCTGTATTAACAAATATATTTCAGCTTGCGATATAGCATCCCATTTGAAATTGCTGAATTCGTGATCGAGAACTACATACCAAGCATTTTTTATGTTTTCACTTACATGCCTGTTGCTCAGAAACTCTAAGTAATCCCGTAGATCATCATACTGCAAATCGCCAAAATTGTTACATCTTTTCAATATACATTGAGCTTCCATTTTTTCATTATCTTTAGAACTATAGCAGTAGCTGATAGCCAGCTTCAATTTTACCGCAATAGATGAAAATATAATAAGGCTAAGTAACTATAATACTAAGTAAGTATAATTAACAGCGTCATCGTAACATAATAAATAACTCGTTTAAATTATACTTGATTAATTTCCTAAGAATAAAGAAATTGTCCATCAATTGATTCTAAAAATTAAAGTAGTTCAAAAGCCTGAAATATGTGAGTTAGAATGAACATGCTTTTCTTGCGATATTTGAAACAAAAGCATAAATCCGTATCGATTTCGACCGCATCTGATGCTTGATTCAGAAAATTTTTAAACTTTTGGCAACTTGAAAAAATGAATGAATGCTATAGATTGTATGAATGGTACGTGTTCTTGCCCAAGTGAAAAAAGCGTACATTTTACAAGCCCATGAGTGTCATAGAACAAAAATACGGTGTAATTATAAATATATAAGTATAAAATATTGTTGCTAAGTGGGTTAGATGGGAAATAACGTGTGAGCTATGCGGTAAACCAAACGACATTGTAATGTTGCAGGATAAAAAAAAAGTGTTCCATATTGGAAGTTTGAAAGTGTTAACTTACCATTTGAAACCGACGGGCCATACTAACTACATAATGCCAATATTTCATATTACTAAACTCGTAAGTTTTGCATATATTAGCGACACATTGAACAGCCAACCGGGTGTTCAATTTTGATAGGTTTCTAAGCAATCGCTTTTTGTTTTCTTTATCGAGCTCACTCACAGATTTACATTGTACTCCAATGTTTACTAATTTAGCCAGAATCGATACTTTACTTAAGTAGTTGCTGAAAACAGATACTTATTAATTCGTAGGCATTTTAAGTGCTTTTTATCAAATAATACTTACAGGAACTCATTGTGAGTCATATGGCACGTTTCTTCAATTGTTTTTAAAGAACTTATATAATAAAAGCACCTCAATGCATTTGCTCTCAGTATCTCATTATCCTCGGAATTATCTAATCCTTTCTTCATGAGATAATTCTGCCAGTGGTCAAAATGTTTACCCTTGCATAAGTACGTTGCCCTACATAATTACATTTACAATGTCTTAAGTAAATAAAATAAACATTCTATAAAAAGGGGTTACATCACATTCAGTAAAGTGATTTGCAAGTAAATTTGGTCACTAACTATGTAAGAATATGTTTTTAAAGCGCTTTATAGCAATAAATAATGACAAACCTTATGAGATTTTCCTGTTGTAATCGTGGACAACCCAAAGTCAATCGAAAATCACAATTTAAAAACTCGTCCAAGACTCGCGTGCATTCTTCCAGAACGTCTAACTGGAATAAAATACACAGCTCCTCAACAGCACTGTTAATGCCTAAAAAAAATTTATGTAGAATTATTCGCGAGCCAATATTCAACAATAATTAGTGTATTTACCAGGGCATTGATTCACTGCATTATTGTAGAAAGATTCTATACTGCGATCATTGTAGAGCTCTGTTATTAAATCCGAAGGTTTAGCGACTAGCCCTAAATATTTAACACGAGCAAGCTGATATTTATGAAGAATGTGACTTGCTGAATAATTAAAAAATCTTTGCTTCACCTAAAGAAAAAAAAATTAAGATGTTATTTTGATTTATTTTCCTGACTGCGTGTAATTGTTATTATATTTTTTCTTTCCTGGGTTTCAATCAAAATGTTCTAATCGTTTATTTCATATTACGTTTCGGCGAGACAACAGCGGCATCATCAGATTTAAAAGAAATTCCTTGAGAATTAATGGATGTTTTAATACTTTGTAAATTATAGTTTTTGTACAACATATTTTAATTGTAAATTTGTGTTTTTTTTTTTAATTTTAAATTTGATGATGAAATCACCTTGATCCTGACCTGAGTCGAACTGACCGCGAATTTGAATTCCTCAGTTAAAATTTTTTTTTCGTTGTGTAATTTATATTTACCAAAAAATCGATACCAAAACAGCTTCAAAAATTCACGAAAACAATTTTATTCGGGTGTTTTAGTTTGAATCAATTATTGTTATCGATAAACCATATATATAATCACAAAACCTGGAACATTTTTCTAATTAAACTTTTATCGTAAATGTAATAATTCATATCTACTGAAAACAATTTGTGAAAAACATAAATACCTACCTTTACGTAAGTTTGCTTGACCGATTGGTTAATGTCAGACTCCCAATACAACTTCGCAAACTTATAGCTCAGTTTTGCTAATTCCACTTTATCAGCACCGTTAGGCATTTGACACATAAGATTATAAACGGCTGCTGTTGCATGTTCCAGGTTGTCCATACTGTTTGCACAGTCTTCAATCTTCGGCAATAAATAGTCAAATTTCAAAGACAATTCCCAAGTTGAGCTAGTTGTATCTACTATTCCACTTGATATTGGACTGGTAATTGCATAAAAGCAAATGTCATGTTTCTTCAGATACTGACTCAGATAATCTGATAATTTAAACCATTGCTTGTAGGTATCGAGATTAACTTCTGGCTTTATAATGTTCCAAATATCACTTGATAAAAATGTACTTGTCAGGGGCAGTCTGAATTCTGATAGAGAATCGATGAGTGGCTTGAGCGGATTTGCACCACACCACATCTCGACTTCTGTGCTGGTCGGTTTGTTAACACGTCTATATTTTTTGAGAAAACAAATCAAAGGTTGGTATAGCTCTGAAATAGATCCGCTGGAAGAGGCTACTTTCTGATTTATTTGCAACAAAGCCAAGTAAACTTCGTAGTAGTAGAAATTCACCTGAAACAATACAAGGCATTGCATGAATAGTATAATAAAAATAATTTTAGTGCGATTTAGATTAACATAAATCATACTTGAAAGTATTGAGAAACGCGTCAATAATACTGTTGATTTTATAGTTGCCATCGTCATTGTTTTACAGCAATTTCACTAAGAAATTGTAAGAAATATAATATAATTACATCACTTACCGAGTTCCACAACTTTGCCGTCGAATTGACAACTCCCTTCGTATTAGATATGCAGGCCAAAACTTTGTCACATTTTTCCAATAGTTCTTCTTCAGAATTTTGTATTTTAAGGCTTCGCTTGCCATTGATTTCGGTAGTATATGTTATGTTCGGTCGCCAATTCAATAAAACCCTAAGACAAACCACTTTTTCTTTATCAAACAAATGCTTTAGTTGAATCCACTTACGTCTTTAAATACTTAAAATAACAGGACTCCAATTCTATACAAAAATCTGCACAATATTCCGGCAAGTGCTCTACTGTCACTATTTCTGCCTTCATCAAAGCCTCTAATCGTTCCTTAGGAGTGGCAGTGATAAAAGCCTCAAAACTCATTTTTAAACCACTGAATCTAGACCACCATTTGCACGCGTTCATAACACTCACAAGCAATGTTTTATCAAACTGAATATCTTTACTATTTAGAACCTCTAGGCTGATTTGTGCCATTGTACGTATTTTTGTTGGACTTTTCCTATACAATCGAAAATATTTCAGAATAATTTCATGAAATGATTCGTTATCGTATAACAACATCAATTGAAAAATAATATTTTTATGCCCATAGTTCTTTTCAAGAAGGGTTTCGATGGCCTGAGGCAAAACTGATTCCTGCAGAAATTTTTTTAGTGGTTCCAAAACTCCCTTCTGATCTTCCGGAAGAATTATCGACGTCTGCTGCACTAATCTGATCATATTGATTACATTAAATTCTTGCTTTTGATTCAAGAGAATGCGAGCATTCCATATAAATGTGTCTAGTTCGTCCCTCATGTCCTGAAATATGGAAACAATTTTTTGTATCTGTGTATAGTAGTGTAGATAAACTATATCCCTTTACAGATGGCTCAAGTAGCAATTATACGAGAAATAATCTCACAAATACCGACTATTCCGAAATTAAGGTGCTTAGCATCAACAAGTTTCACGATCAAAATTTTAAGAATTTATTTTATTTATGAACTTTTTATTACATAAATATTGATTAAAAAGCTCTGGTGTTTTTCCACTCTGGTTAGAATTTTTCTCAATATTACAGATAACACAGGATTACTCTTTTTTTATTAAAAAGCTCTCGGTTTTCTCCGATAATCTAAAAAGCTAAACGAAGTACAAGTTAAACGTTCACTATCAATTTTACACAGATTTTCTTATTACCCAGGTTTCTGGAAGGCGGAAGTAATTATCTTAAAATCTGTTTCAAAGAGAGTATATTGTTTAGTTATTCTTCAAAGTTTCATTTATTTACATTAACAAGTTTCGGAAATATTTATATGAAACAATAAATAATATTTATATAATAATAATAGTAATTCTCAATAGCGAAGAGCTTATCGACAAACATTTAAGGGTACGTGCACACCGGCGTCCAAGCTAAGCGATGCGACTCAACGCGATAAACATAAATGTACAGTATGAGATTAAGATGCGAATTAAGACGAAATAGTTTTTTTTCAGTTGCCAAGAGTTTTTAAAAAATGCGTCAAAGAAAAACAAAAAAACTCTGAATCCGCCCCCATAACATCACTGGAAAGCGAAATCCGCTGCTTTAAGTGACGAAAAACTCATTGAATAGGAAAGTTCTGGGAGTTTTCAGTCACTAAGGGGAAGCGATTGGGCGTTCGTATAGAAAGACCAATTTAAAAAAAATGTCAAGGAAAAACCAAAAAGCCCCGTTAAAAGGAATGGCGCCAATTTTGAATAACCCTGTAAAGTTAATTTTTTTTATATTCATACAAAAATTGCCACAAAATCTTTCCGTATCTTCTAACAAGTGGGGAGATAAATGATGACATTCTTCATATGTTACCGAGCTAAATTAATCTCATATGACCATCTTTTCCTTTTGACTTTTTTCAGTCTTCTAGTTAACGGGGGTCCAATAACAGCATAAGCGCAATGAAAGAAAATCAATGAAAAATATGATCTTTAACTTCCCAAGCTAATCCACAAAGAGCAGCTCGGTCGCAGGTGTGCACGTACTAAGTAACAAAAAAGTAATTTTTCCATAAAACGTTATGTAGAAGTTTGGATACGATGTACAATTCGAACTTGTATTGAGAAATAATAAATAGCTAGTCAGTATACTATAAAATACAATAAAGTAGCCAAAAGGGAAGTTTAATATAATTTGTTTCGCACATTGAATTGTACTTACCACATTCTTCAGTCGATCAGGTATGAAGAAAGAACAGTAATTAGGTGGCAAATTCTCTGAAAATAACCATTCAATAATTAAAAGATACCAGAGGAAAGGGAAATAATCAAGTTATTCGAAATAATTTAGTTTAAGACTAGTTTTGTATAGAGTGTAGAACAATGTGCTAGTTGAAAATTTAACCAGTTTCCGAATATTATTTCTGTCTTTTGCCAATTTTCAGTCTAAGTCGACTTTTCGGCTTAACTTAGAGATGTAGTTTGCGTTAAAACACGCTCAATAGTAAGATACAACAGATTTAACGTGACTTACGTTTACTAGCTTCATACGTATTGAACAACATTGGGATTGTTGCAGTGAGTGGAAATAAATCGGGTGATTTCTTCGAAACTTGGAGATCGTCCAATTCTCCGATAAAGGAGTTCAAGTTACAACAAATACAGTTAATCAATCGAATGACCTCAACAATTGCCGATAACGTTATCTTGTCTTCTTCTTCGTTATACAGTGCAGCTCTCACACAAAGCTGCAGCGCTAAGCGTGCATCTTCTAAGTCTTTAGACGAATTCTCGTCTTCTGCAATGGCCATATCCAAAAATGTTTTGTTGTCCATACTGCTGCTTTCTTGTTGCAAACACTTTATAATATTAACAGCGCATTGAGTCAACAGTTGAGGACATTGTGAGCTTTCCAGAATATATTCCCCAATCTTCACAAACGTATTGCGAGAATTTTGGCAGATGCTGATATATTCTAGAAGAACAGTGTCCAATGTTTCTTCAAAAAAGCTGGAAATTTTTTCGCAATGATCAATGAGGGTACTAACTTCTGAAAAAATGCACGTCTTTTCAAACAGTCCAAGTTAGTTAAATAAATTAATATCTACCAATTTCCACTTTCGAGTTGATCACCTGAACCAAAAAGGTTGCTATGTTTGCTTTCTTTGCAGATGGTGTAAGAACTAAGTCAAGTTCAATTTTAAAATTAGTATGCATCCAGTACATAGCTCTAGTCGCATTATAACTATTTAATAATTCATCCAGTTGCCTTCTTTTGCAATGTCTCTTCAGCTTGCTCCATAAAGGAGCAAGTGCGTTATAAAGTCTTTCTCGAAGCTTGAAGTGATTTATAAACCTCCGAGTTTTAAAACATATATCGATCAGGAGTCTTTTACCGAGAAGGCACATATAATGCGGCTCCATTTTATCCATTAATGTAAAAGCGGCTTCACAACTGCCTTTGTGAACAAATTCTGTCATCATTAAATAATCAGTTTCAAATTGGTCATTCTGATCACAAAGCTGGCGGACATCATTAAAAGCTGTATTATAGTCATCTCCATTTAGATAGATAATACGCCGAAAATAGAATTCTTTCTGAAATCATTTTGCACACTTACGTTAAGATTTCATAAATTCAAGAAGCAAGCTTTTTGATGAAATGAATGAAGCTTTTTTAAAATTATTGTTAAAACTTTTCAATCAATAACACGTTAATATTTTTTATATTTCCTCAAGTTTTCAGCCCATAGAATATCTGCCGAATAATAAAAAAATTGCCCACATTTATTAAGTAATTGTTCATTACCAAAGTAGATACGTAGATAGTACTCACATCTTCCAAGGTTACAAAGTTGTTTTCGTTAATATTGTACTTTTCCAACAGAATTAAAAACTGCTCGTTCTTTAACAGCTTTGCTATTTCTTCGCTAAGCGGATTAACTGTCGGATAATCAAATACAAGAAACCCGATTTGTTTAACTTTATCACTCCATGGCTTTGCGGTTTTTATTAATATTTCTTGAATAAGAGATAACTTATAATCCACTCTGGAAATGAACTCTAGTAAAACCAAAGCGGTATCCATCCAATAAATCTCTTCAAACTGAAAAAAACTCTGAAACATAAAGGTAATCATAATTTAATAACAAATAACACACTAGTAAAAATTTAGTTCAGATCCATTTCTTATATGTGTTTTTTTTAGAGGAATAGAACTTTAAACTGAAACAAAACTAATAAAAATCATGTTAAGGTCATGGTACTGCAAATGAAAAGGCAATTGTATGCCATTATAGCTTAACTATGATTTGGGGTGTAATGCGCCGCGGCTGGCTTGGATGAAGAGCAATCCACGGAAGAAGCACAATTTTCGACCACTTTGCTTCCACTAGATCATAAAGAAAGCACATCAAAGAGTGAGTTTTTCTGGATATAACAGCGTCTTAATAATTGCTTTCGTATTTTGTATTTTTGTGGCACCAAATTCAACAATTTATTTCGAAAATCGCTGTTTACTTTGCCAAACTTACCATGTGCTACGTCCCTTTTACGGTCGACATAATAGTTAGTCGTCGAGACCCCGTTATATCCAGAAAAACTCACCGTTTTGGGTGCTTTATGGTCTGGAAGAAGCGAAAATTGGACTTCCAGATTGCTCTTCACCGCGACGCATTATACCCCAAACAAATCATAGTTAAGCTATAATGGCATACAATTGCCTTTTCAATAAATATCATCAACATCAATATCATGACGTTAACATTATTTTTCTTACTTTTATTTCCGTTTAAAGTTCTAAACCTCTATACCTTCATTTTCCGATAACTTTCGCAAAAACATAATATCTTGCCCTCCATTTTTAGAATCAAAATGGACAACCATATTATTTATTTACCTTTATTTGGTTGCACAAAATTTCATCGGGCTGCTCCTGACATTCTAGAAGAAATGGATACAAAATTTCCTTCATAAGCAACCTAAGCTTTTCAGGCTTAAAATTCCCCATTATACAGACATTAAGTAGTGTTGGGACGATTGCATATGGACCCTGAAGACAATCTTTCAAAGGTAAATGTACATTGAAATCATCATTCAGCGTCTCTATATTCTCTAAAGCCTTCAGTGAGTTCCGTAGCTTTTCTCTAGCCTTATCAAAGTGAGTTCGTGGAGGGGCATGTTTTATAATGTTGTTTATATCATTTAAAAAACTAAACACATTTTAAATTAAAAGTTAACATTTACCTATAACAATTCATACACAAACTTACGTAATTGCGCATTCTAGAAAATCTACATTCTCTTCCATTTGAATAATTCTATTGCAGACCCATTTAATAAGTATTTCCATAGCGTCTGATTTGTACTTTAGAACAAGAGGAATGAATGCATTCAAAAAGGACATCGTCGTTTCGACAGACGGCTAAAAACAATTGTCGAACTAATTATTTTATGTTACATTTTGGGTTGTAAGGGACGTCAATATAACCTGAGTGCTGCTCCAAGTCCCGACCTAACTTTGTAATTACATTTTCAAGGAGAGCAAGAAAAATTAACAAATTAAAAATGTTATATGCGAAAACCATTTTATCAAAAATTAGATATGAAAAAGTGCTTTTGTTAATAAATTTAATAAGTTCTTTTTATTTGAACATCATGTGACTGTGATAACATTATGTTACAAACTTCGAGTATCGCGTCTTTTTCACGTGATTATCACGCTTGGGTTATGAGTTACCCCTTCTTGCTGGGACAAGTACATTACTACTAAGCTAAATTACCTCGCTGACTGCTGATATCACTTCATTGACTTCATCGTCAGTTAACGTTGATGCAAATTCTTCACTATACAAGGTACTGAGAACCAAAAGAATAGCTTTATCTGTGCATCCCTGTATACACAAAAATCAAATATTGGAAAATTAACAAAAGCCTAAGCAATAATCATGGAATTTTGTTTTCTATGTTTAATATATGTATGTCGACTCACCTGTTTCAAAAATGTCTTTAGTTCCCCAATAAGATCGCACTCGACAAAATTTGACCATTGCCTTTGATCATATTCTTTGTATATACTCATATAAGTATCAAATCTATGAAGTTTAACACTACAGTTGGTATTCCACAGATGCAAGTTTGCACCATTTTTCTACGGTAATAACATGAAAGGTATCGAGCGTCAAAGAAAAAGTTGGTTTCAAAATAACTTACCGAAGTCGTGGTTTCAGTTGAAGCTGCATAACTTAACACTCTCCTGGTATCTATAGCCGTTTTACATACTACTGAATCACAAAACTGTATTTTTGTCGCTGCATTTTTTATTGTATCAAGAATTGCGAGCAATTCATCAATGTCTTCTGAAGTGCACTCATTTTTGGTGATGATGTTAAATGCCTTCGCTTCACCTATACAATCCTGGTCAAGGTTAAACTGCTTAGCAAACATTTCAGCTTTGTCAATCTGTCCCTGGCTAATTAACTTTTGCACTCTTAATTTGGGATCTGTAGTAGTTATAATCTGGAGCCGTAATTCCACTAGGGTGTCATTCTTATAAACTTCAGATACAAACGCTATTTCCTCAGCGTATTCTTTCATGTAACTGTTTGGGTGGACTGGATGTTCGAGATGAATATCATACAGGCTATCAGAATCTGGAAATTTAATTTGAATGGAACATTTATTTATCCAGGGTGAGCCGAAATGTGAGTTACGATCATCATTTTTTTTCGGCAAAATGGAAACACATACTTCATATAAAATTCTTGAATTTTGTCGATTTGGTATCATTAAATATTCAGATAACCAACCATTGATTTCTTTCAATATTTCCAATGCCGCGTCTAGACTTAACGCGATTAGAGCGCGACACAATGGCCACGCACTTAAGATGGCCCAAAATTTCTTTTTCTAGGGAGTTATGCGAATGTGGATGATTTCTTTTTTGATGCACTGAAAACATGCATGCATATTTGAGATTCCTGCGCATTCAATGGGAAAAACGTACGAATTCCTGTCGTGTTTGCTTCGCGCTCCTGTTGCGCTCTCGTCTTGTTAAGCCTGAACGCGACATAACGTCTTAAGGATTACCTCGAAAGTTGTTTCTTGCTAATATCCACCAATCTCAAACCATTTTTTGGTAGGTGGTTAATATCATAATTTTCTTTTGTTAATAATACAGTATTATTTCAAAACTGAAAGCACTTTGAAAGTAAAATAAACACTTTCATCCATAAGTGTCTTATAAGCGTTCAGTATTCACTGTATATTAAATTACCCTGAACATTTAATCAGTAATCGTATTTACCTATTATAGAGCGAAATGCTTGTATATTTTGATGCTTAGTTATGGCCAACATTAATCGGTTGTCTTCATTACCAATAAACCACAAGTATTCAAACTCGTCTAATCGCTCAGGAAAAGCATTATTCACTCCAAACACCAAACATCTTGCAGAGTCAATTAAATAGATCTTTCCATTGTTACCAAAAGCAACAAAATTGCTGAAATGATCCATATGGCTGAATAGAGGTTTCTAAAAAACACAAAATAACTTACGGTCCAGAAGCATATACAGTTTTTATTCCGAATGCATCATCAGATTGATATTCCATGTTACGTAGATCCAATATTCCCAGTTCGGTTCCTTCCATGCACAGATATGGATATGCAAAAGCAGCGGCGCGAATAGTTTGGTTCGCATCATATACCAATTCGCATACGAACTGTTCTTCTTCATGTTCATCGAGTCTAGTAGTAATTCTTTAAAAATAAAAGTTTTTCAATCTTTATAGACTTCTAGACATACTGTACATGAATATGTAAACTCGAATGTAAATACAATTAATCCGAATGCTTAGAATATACTCCATACTTTTTTACTAGTCCTGCGCATGTAACAGCATAAAATGTGAGAACTTCTGCTGTTTTGTCTGCAAATGTTGTAAGAAAAAAGTTTTCTATATTCCCCTGTGCTGAATGATCTACTTTCCTGCAATTAAAAAATAAAGATTAACACATTGAGTCCGTACTCTCAAAGAAAAATCGTTATGGATAACAATGGTAACTTTAAAGTCTTCTCCAATTCTTTGGATCTTTCCACTCCATGACTAAGCTATAACAGCTTAATGTGTTACGAAAAGCTTGATTTACCTGCATCGTAATGAACAATGCATTTAGTGAATAGGTTTCAAAGGTTTCAGATATAAGTGGACACAAATTACCTACTCCAAGCTTCAATTTTCAAGCTAAACCCACCTGATTAGAGCTAATAAGATCGTAATCGGCACTGGGGAGTATGAGATAATCGCATTTCAAAACCTGTGCCCACTTATATCTATGCATCTATAGTCTAGAACCCATATATTCCTGGCATACTTACTCAGTAAAAATAAAGGATAATTCTGAGCAGACTGTTTCCGTATTTTCAGTGGTCTGATCTTGAATCAAATTTAAATCTGACACATATATATGACCATGTTGGGTGCAAAGCAGAAGAAATCGTCCACATGTTGAAACAGAAATGCATTCCAAATTATCATCAAATTCATGCATTGCGATTAAACCAGGTTCTTCAATACTCTTCAGTATTCTCAAACAGTTGTCAATGGCCAAATAAACTGATCCATTAACTTTATTATAGTGTGTTGTTATTTTGATTTTGGATTCGCCAGACTTCTAAAATAAAATTTTGCATTGCGATCGTGCCATTGCAATATTTTGACAAAAGCTATTAATGTTTAATATTTTATTAAATTGTAAAAAGTGGTAAAAAGTTATCGAGGATCATGGAGATTGGTTGTCACTCTCATGGTATATGTTTGTAACACTGTTTATTTTTATTCGTATGGACTTGAATAAAATTTTAATTGTTGATTATTTAGATCTTAACCACATGACTCCAGATCAGAATGGTGTCACGAATTAATTTTAACATAAGGACAGCAATTGCCACGTTACATTTGTGGTTAGTTTATAAGTTGCGCTCTTCAAAACTTAAAACCTTTAACAATGTCGAAAATGCGCTTTAGGTTTACTTTCCTTGGCGTGAGTCTAAATCGGTCAAATATTCTACATAATAGACACGACAATGTGCTGTTTATTACAAGTAAAGCAATTATCCAAGAAAGTGCAACTGCCCAAAAAAAGAAGCCGATTCAAACAATAGTCCGCTGTCCATATCATCAAACATTAAGTTTCTGGCTGCTGTTGTGCTACATACACACAATAACACTTATAATCGCTGGCTTTGTGGAAAATATTCAACCACTATAGTTTGTCATGATGGGCCAATGCCTAATTGTTACTTTGTCTTGCAAGTAAATATGTCTATAGTAGTGTACTGATGATATTTCAAGTAACGTTCAGCAAGAGATTATCGCTTGGACGAATATAAGAGTTTTGGGGTAAATAATGAATTCTTCAAAAAGCCTGAAAGCCATTTCACTACGTGAGGATTAATATACGTACGTTTACAGCATCTGAGGACGTGATTACTGCAAGGGTACAAATTTCATACAAACTTTTGCCATCAATAGCTCTCTTGCCAAACACCAGAGTTTCATTCAAATTATCGAAACCAGTTTCATACACATCGTATCGAGCCATCGTAGAGCTGGAATCGCTTTGATCACTGTACCAGAGATGGTACACAGTGACTGTATATTAAACTTTCAGTAACACATCAGATTCCAAACTAAATATTATTCAATTTAATGCAACGAACTTTGCTAGCTGTTAACACGCTGTTAACTTGAAAACAATATAAAGTCAATTGTCAAGTGATGTCAATCTCAAATGCTGCGAGCACTTAGAATTTACCAATCTCTTTTAACAACATGTAATAAAAAGAAACAAAACCAATGTTCTGTTAAATACCTGATACAGGTTTCCACAGTGTTGTCTGCGTTGAGCGGCTTTAAGTAATTTTTAGGAATAAACGCTTTAAAATGTCTATTTCAGTGGAAATATCAAGCAATTTTTATTTAACGATTAATGAAAATCGAAATTACTTAGTCCGTTATTTAAAGTGCCGGTATCAAGAACTAAGAGTTTATGCAGAATATATATTAAAAGAGCAACTCAGGATAATGAGAGCGCAAAAACTGGCAATTTCGGTGTTCTATTTTCTATTTTGTTGATCAGCTACCTGCCCCTGTCGTGTGAAGAAAGGTTATTTTTGTGTCTTTATTTTTGTGTAAGGCTGTTCAGTAAGCGCAAATTAATTTTAATTCGATTATTTGCTCTCTTAGGTGCGTTTATTTGAAAAATCATGTTCGGCAAGTTTTTACATGCACGCAACCTTCAGTCGAATGATTCTTGAGGTCATGAGCAGAGTCGAATTATTACCAAAGGCCAAGAAATTTCACCATACAAACATAACCAACAAGACGAATCAAGAATCAAATTCATATCAATAGTTTGCTTTACAAACCGTGCAGTTTGTTGCAACTTCTCATATGGCTTTATATTAGAACAATAGAGGACAAGAGACCTAAATATAGAAAAATCAATACTTGTTCGGTGACATTTTATTCAAAATGAATCAGGAAAGAACAAAACCGAAACATAAAGGATTTGCTAGTTTCCTCCTACCAAACAGGCCTCCCAACAAGGTCGGCGTTTTGGTAAATAGAACGCAAAGCGCTAAGGAACCCAACTTAAAAAATTTGACACATTCCGAAGCTAACAGCCCTACTCATATCTCCAAAAGACCTTTAAGTTTCAGCATGAGAAATGGCACTTTAAAGAAAAGCAATGATTTTCTGGAACCGGTAAGTCCTCAGTTGATTTATTGTGGATATTTATAGCTGTTTACATCCACATTTTGTTTGAACTTACGTAAAATCACTGACTACCTACATCAAGTCAAACTTGATTCCATGTCTTTGCCAAGGCTTTTTGCTCAACAATTTTAGCGCGTTTCAGATGTTGAATTGTTTTGCTTATAACTCCTTCTATACATATAATGCGAACGTGCAGGCAGTTACTGTACTCTTTGCATTTTAGCCATTAACTGCATTAAAAAGGGAAAACAGTTTATCTGAAAGTTACTTGCTTGACGAGGATCAGTGTAATAGTTATGTTGAAAAACCGCTTGAAAAATATGGATCTCATGAAAGTGTCCTAAAGGAAGGTATATTATTGTTAGTTTCCCATCGTATTAATATCTTAAATATTCATGTAATTTAAGCCGTTAGTAGCTTGCACAAAATTCCAACAGCAAAAGCTAGGGCACGAAATTTTTTGCATGGAAGAATTGGAGCGAATTCCCTTCTGGGACCTCCTGAATTGGATAGGCTGTGTTCGAATAGAGAAATAACCATTTTCGTAGGCACCTGGAATATGAATGGGCATTCTGCACCCAAGTAGGTGGTTGTTGAAAGTTTGAACAGTTTATAAGCAAGTCTTACAGCTGGAATTTTCCTATTATAGAGAACTGAATGATTTCGTTCTTCCAATTGGAATGAAGCACGTGCCGGATATTTTAAGTTTCGGGACACAAGAGTCGTGCTCTGAAAGGTTGGAATGGGAAATCTCACTGCAAGAAACGATTGGTCCTTCACATATTTTGTTTCATTCTACTAGTTTAGGTAAATCGGGCTTTTGTCGTTGTAATGGTTACATATTGAAATACTACAAGGTGATTCAAATTGGCGTCATTTCTTCTAACAGAGGTAACAGGTGAAATTAAATAGACATACAATGTTTTTTCACACCTGGTTCAATCGCAATCAATTTTAGTATAAATACTATTTATATATAATATAAATAAATTTCCGCCATTCTCACAATTTGCGTAAGTTCAGCGAGCACAATGTCGAACTTCACATGAATGAAGAGCGCGGACAGAAGGTTCCATCCACCAAACAAATTTTACTATTTAAATGTGCATTGACGAAGCCGTTAAAAGAGGCGGTGGATACGCAAGCAGTGGTAAAACGCCCAACATAAATCCGCTTTGTAGGCGCGCTTTTCAGCCAAAGGCTCGCTGCCGATCTTTTTTTATCTTCTCTAAGCATACAAAATAGCATCAAGCTTAATGCTATTTTTGCTTAGTTTAAGAATAATAATAATATTTATGTTTTTTTAAAAGGAAAATTTGGGACATGTGCACTGCCACAGTTCGCTTTTAATAAACAACAAACTGTCGATTCTGTACAACATTTTATTGTTGAAAATACATCAAACTCGAAGAATGAATCAAGGACGAGTTCTCGCCCAAAAAAAAAAGATAACTGAAAAACTGCTATTATTAGATTCAAAGTGAAAAACGATCCTCATAATTAGATCGTTCTGAGCTGTCGCGGCTCGACAAGACAACAAGACCGACGAAACAAACGCGTTTTCCCCGACCTCAGAAAGACTAAAATCATTAAAGATCCTTATTACTACTACTACTATATCAATTCTACCTTTCTGGGGAATATTCTGAATATAGTGAGTGTTTTGTTGTAATACAACTAAATTGATTTTTCTCAGCAAGTGAAGTTGGGCTTTTGAAGAAACTTCGAATCAAGTAACTGTTGAAGAAGGGATACATCCCTACTGTTTTATTATCGCCAGAAAGAGCCATATGAGATTCACATATTCTTATTACAACAAAAAGGGATGTTTTGAAGTGAAGTTGTAGTTGTAAGTGAACTTGTGCAGCTTTGTGAGGACCTTATGTAGTCAGAGTACGCATTGATATGCAGCTTTATTGTCACTAACGAAATTTTGAAGCACCGAATTTTTGATTTGACCTGTTATCTGTGTTGGTTAATGAATAAAGCAACATGCATTTACGTAATGTCAATGAGAAAAACGTGTGTGAAATCAAATGAATTTTAGAATATTACTTATTTTGTTGTTTCTTGCTAACATCTGAGTTTTTTGTAAAAATTGTTTTTTTTTATTTTCTGTACTCCTTTCGTACCCCAAAGAAATTACGCCACTTTGGAGTCACCCGCATAGAGAAATGTTGTAAAACTAAATATTTACTTAGAAAATGTTTACTTCTCATAGCTCGAAAGCAACCAATAATAATTAGAAATATTCCAGGTACTTTACATTTATGTATATTTATCAGAAGGGATCTGATTTGGTATGTTTCCATACCGGAAGATGCCAGTTTGTCAGTGAGACCAGGAAGCGCGTTTAGAACAAAAGGGGCGGTTGCTACTTCTTTTATGGTTTTTGGTACATCTTTTCTCTTCGTTACTGCCCATTTAACTGCTCACCAGGAGAAGGTTAAAGAACGGGTTAGCGATGTAAAGAGGATTGTCAACTCATTGGATTTACCTAGAGTGCTTCCATGTAAAAACAAATCTAAGGGTAAGCGAATTAATTAATCATCTAAATTACGTTTAGAATATTAAATCGATACGATACTATGAAAATATTCAGTAAATCGGGCTTTCAATTGGTAATGAAATTGCAAGTGCTTTAACAGCTAAGTTATGGTGTTATGGCATCTACTTGTGTCGTCTTGAAACATATAGAAACTTTCTGTTCAAAGTGTTTAAAGGTGCTTCATAATTTCAGTAAGTAAAATGTCATTAGAGTTGGTTGGATTTTTTTAATCATGTTTGATTTGACTTTATCACCGTCTTTGTTGCACGCTTTTTAGAAACCCCTAGCTTTTTCGCACAATTTCAACTGTTGATTTCTTGAAAAATTTGACCACTTTTCCAATGCGTGAACAATATACCAATGAAACTATTACACATCCAAACACCTATTTTTACGTTCGTTTTACTTTTGTATTTTTAGTCTATCACTGTATCTGTAAAATCCATTTTCGTTTGTTGCCCAAAATTCACCTGATAATTAAAAGTTGTCGCACATTTGCCGAGTTTTATCATTATCCGGTAACAAATAGATCGGTGGCCCGCTATATGAACGAAATGTTTTAAGTACTAAACAGAACCCATGTTCGCCATTGTTCTTCATGCTATTATTATTTTCAGAGCATGTCTTGCATTTCTCAAAGAAGCAGCTAAGTTTTTTAGCTATTAGACTCCCTTAAAAAACTCGTTAACGACAATAATTTATTACAAACCGTAAATATACAAGAAAACTCCTGAATACAGAAGGAATGTTAATACTAACAATAACAAAATTTAAACTATATTAATTATTGAAGTAGCCATTTTAAGTATTACATCTGCTTCTGCTATAAGTCGTGGTTGTGTGCAAAATGTGTGTATGTAACTCAAGCACTTAGACGGCCTTCCGGGAAGTATTGGAACCTATTCGGTATTTCATGCTTGCGATTTTTTAAGTCGATCATCGTTCATCCTATTGATCATGCTCTTGTCTAGTTCTGGTCCATATTCCTCTATCTACGATATCTTATTTCGTTTGTCTTGTGCGCTTTACTTGTGATTGATTATGTTTTTATCTCATCAGTCTTAATCTATGTTTGTTTCTTTGGTGTGTGGGTCTAAAACACGTTTTATATGTCGTATATTGCTTTCAACGCTTAATCATACTTTTCTCTATATTTTTGAGGAAATTCCGGTTATTTTTTTGTTTGCGTTATTATTTGTTATTTCATTTCAGTTTTATATTCCTTTAATGTTAACTCCTAGATATTTCAATAACTGAACCTACTGCACTTTTTTTATTATAGATCGCTAATTTGCAGCACACTGGATTCTCCAGATATTATCAAGGGCTGTGTTTTTTGAGCCGATATAATCCAAGATGTTCAAAATCTGCATAATAATTATTCTTCGATTTTTCAACGGCGTCACCGCCATAGCAAATTATGTTATTCTTATTTTTCCATTCTGTACCTTCAGTCTGCGGTGTTTTATTGGAAAGTTCATACTCAGTAGAAATTGTTGATAGTTATTAGTCAGATCTGGCTGAAGGAATAGTAGTAGAATATGATGGTCCATGCATTTTTTATGATACGCAAAAATAAATGATAAAGGTCTAAATTAAGACCGAGTGAAAATAATGCCAGGTACTCGATTGGGAGTATCGCTAATTGCTTGTGCAATGCAAAAATGTATAAAAACTACATTTAAATCATGTGTTTAGATGGATATACAATTATAGGTATTCGTGTAACGCAGCGACGGAACGCAATTACATTTATTTGTTTGAACAGTTGTGAGTAGATCATCACCAAAATGTGCTATATTTGTCTTTGTCGTCGTTGGAAACTTCAGGATGACCTTTTTTTTCCGCCCGGTACAACCCAGTAAAATTGGCACTGCTTAAAAATATTTAAATAATATTTCTTGTTTCTTAATTGCTCGCTTTTGCGGATTTGGACAAGTGTGCGACAACCCTTGTTCTTCTCATACCTTATTTTATCATTTCCATCATTTTACAAATAGTTAATAAAATTAATTTTGGTTCTCTTTTTTTCAGATGATGTTGCGAGTCAGCTGCATTATGGAATAGACACATTTATGAGAGTAATAAAAATCTATCTACTATTATATCGAGTTTTATTCTAATTTGGCAGATGTATTACCATAAGAAAATCTATTCAGCAGTATCTCATAATTTTTTTCCTTGTACTTGCAACACCAAACTTCATCTCTTCGTAACGCGTTTTTATTTTAAAAGTACTTTTATTGAAAGTAAATTAAAATATAAACCCCGTATAAAAGGTGTTGATTATTTCATTGATGTGTTTATATTTTTAGATGTGACGCAAAACTTTGATTATGTCTTCTGGTCAGGAGATTTAAATTTTCGTTTAGCCACCCCGCGAAGCAAAGTCTTAGAATGGTTGTCCAACACCAGCTTTCCGCTTCCTCCACATTTGCCCCACGGCTACATGCATCATGATCAATTATGTACGGTTTTGGCCGATGGTGCGGCTTTTAGAGGTTTTTCGGAAGCAAAGATTACATTTCCTCCTACATATAAGGTAAGTTGAAATTTGAAGCATCGCTTCGGCGATTAAAAATACCCAATAAACAAGCTGTAAAACAAATATGTTTAGCAATGTACAGGAATCGACACAAACTAATTCCAATTAAAAAAAAAACAAACAAAGCAGATGGACATAGTTATATGTTGGGTTTATGCATAAAATGTTAATATATTCAGTGTTATTCCAGTATGATCCTGGGACTCAGAATTTCGATTCCTCGTCCAAACAACGCACGCCTGCGTATACTGATAGAATTCTTTACAAGCAAAAAAATTCTCGAAGGTTGAGCGGTGCGTTCGAGCATCCACCTCTTCAGTGTTTAATCTATGATTCAGTTCAAAGTATCACTACCTCAGATCATAAGCCAGTTTGGGGAGTGTTTCGAGTACATTTAAGACCTGGATTAGATACGTACGTATTAATCGATCCATTCAGATATGCAAATCTTGTAGTTCAAGGTAGCCATTTTTTCTTTACAGAATTCCATTAGCTGCAGGGATGTTTAATAGAGAGGTGTATTTAGAGGGTTTGAAAAGACGGGCTGAAACCCTAAGCAAAAGCAAGGAAGCTAGTGCAGTTTGTTCCATTCAGTAACTCTTTAGGCAATCAAATGACAACTCTTAGGCAATAACTTGGTGCTCTTTTGGTATCAATTCTATATTTAAATATTGACCACTATTGCTTAAGATCCAACTATATTTATGGTGAAATGTAGTATAGTTCTAAAAGTTGAAATGATCAAAGCTGTTGTAACATTCTATTTTTATATTTACAAATGTAAAAAATCGCCGTACGGACAAAATAAATCGGGTCATTTTATAAAAACACAAGTCAAGATGAGAATGGTTGCAAAAAAGCATCAAAACTCTTTCTAGTCAATGTTTCCCTTTTGAAGACCAATATACTGTAGCTAATATTTACCTGATAAGCAATATTACTAGAAATCTAGTTTTAGAAGCCCCTTATTTTATAAAAAATAAACGATCAAATCAAAATCTCTTAGTGATATTTAGTACATAATTCACGTTTTGTGATTGTTCTAAGAATGATTGATACTCGGTAACTGATAAAGTATCTTGTTAACCTCAGAAAATATAATTAAAGGTTGTATTTTTTAACCAACTTAATGGAATAATTTTATTGCTGATTGCTAGTGCTACTTCAAATAATTTATTTCAGCTTCCATGATAGTTTTGAGATTGTTGTTTGCCAGATTTTACATGGTTTTGAATGAGTAAATGCCACTCACTTGAAAAACTATGCATATATTTGAATAATTCATAATAGATAATACTTAAGTTAACATTCCATAAAGATTGTGTGAAAATGTTACACATTAGTAGCTATAAAATAAAGTTCCTCTTTACATATACTTATATATACTTAAACTTAATTGTACATAAATTTTAAATTAGTCAGTGACATACAACAACCGTGAATCTTTGTCAAATGCTATTTTTCAACTAAATAAATTCACATTTATGAAGGTTCCAAAAAATCTATACGATACGACCTCGCTTAACGCTGTTCCGGTTTAACAAGTTTTTCCGGACATATTGACATTCTCTGAAAATTGGACGCATCATTGGGCTTTCCTGAAATCCGAGGTTTTTTATCTGAATTGCTTTTTGTCATTACTGTTACATGAACGTAATTTTATTAATTCAATAAGTTATTCCCGCTATTGTAAGTATAACTGTATGAAATATAATGATTTAAATAGTGATAATATTATAACGTTTAGTTCTTAATAATCTTTTTTATGGTTTACACCCCTAAAAGCTTTGTAACTAGAATTATCGGTTCTGGAGATAATACGAAATGGAAACATGACTACATATCCATTGACGACGAAATTGAACTGTATGCCATTAAACCAAACTATTCTCATGGAAAATGTGAGAATTATTAATCGAATTTTTGAGATGGTTAATAGAGTTGAACGACGACATCATCTTCAAAGCACATAAAAATCCACAGAATAATAACATATACTGTTTATAAAATGGCAAAAAAATCTGCACGATCTAAAAAAATGGTAACTATTCATTTGTTATGCCATACGCGAAATAAATACGTTTTTATTGTATGGTTATACAATACAATACAATCTACTCTAGTGGAACGTAAATCTCAGGTTAAACGGGATTGTACGATACATAAAAATATATTTGGAACGATGTTTTAATATACTAATTTAATATTAGAAATAATTTGCAAACATACGTACAACTTACAGAACTAATAAAGCAAAAAAGAAAAGTCGTGCTATAACTAGTATTTTGGAACCTGCTTAACATGTTACATTATCCGAGCGGCAAAAATATAGAATTTTGGACAAAAAACTAGACTTTCAAATGTAACCGCTATAATATTGGAAAATAGATACATTTAATATATGTACATGTCTTTTAAATAATGTAAGATAAAACAAAACAACTCGAAGAATCTTGCAAGCAACCACTACTGCTATATCAATAAAAATGTAATTAGTCTACCTTTTTATATCTAGATAACATATAAAAATGTTCTTAATATTTTTAATTTCATGCACACTTAGTTGAAGGGACGCGTTTCATTGCGGTGTTTGGATTCCTAAAATATGAAAAAAAATGTATTAATGCCAGTAAATCGATAAACAAATTTTGCTTTTTGATTGAGAACTCATACACTTATTCACACACTACACACGTGTGTAGTCGCCATGGCAAAAATCCATTAATTAGACTACGAACTGCTACCCCACCCAGCATATTCTCCAGATTTAGCTCCCTGCGACTATTTCCTGATTTCAAACCTGAAGAAATGGCTGGGCGGTAAGAGATTCGGGTCCAATGAAGAAGACATCATTGAAACAAACGCATATTTTGAGGACCTCGAGAAATTACATTTCTTGGAAGGAATAAAAAAAATGGAAAGACGCTGGACTAAGTGTAACGAGCTAAAAGGAGATTATGTTGAGAAATAAACGTTTTTTGGCCGAAAAACATTTCTTTCATTCAAAAAGTTACTGACTTATCAAGCGACCCTCGAAAGACATCCAGACGAACGCCGCAAAATTCCCCGCAAGCATTATAAATAATTTGAAATCTTACCAATTATTACGTGGTACTTCCACTTTTGATGTCATTATTTTACACTACAACTCCATGCTTAACTTCCATGTGTCGAGTGTAACTTCTTCGATGTTTTGTTTCGAAAATACAATGCGGACATTCAAACATTTCCATGGTTTCTTTTGTTCGGTGAACTAGCATGTGGCGAGGCATATTCATTTTCCGATATGTGCTATATGAGCATTCATTGCAAAAATACATGGGCAGTCCTTCTGCGGTAGCTTTTGCCATTGCTGCTTCTCCTGCGACTATAGGACGAACAGTTCTAGAATTTTCAAATAAAAATAGGTTTATCATTTATTTGTTTCAGAATCTCATCATTTTAAGAACAAAAAAATGCGTTTCATCCTGATTTAGGACAGAATTCACAGTCCAATATAATATACAAGATTGCTGTACATTAAGTAATAATTACCTGTTATGTTTCAGTCCAATATGATTAGCTAAACTTCTTTTTTGCCTGGTTGCATAATGGCATTTGGTACATTTAAATAATGGAAGCTCTTCCTCATCGTCGTCATCAACTGGCTCATCTTTAATTTTAGTCGATATGACTTTGACATACTTATCCAACTTTTTCTTTTTTTCATCATGCAAATGAAGGTGCCGTGCTAGCATATCCTCGGACTTTGTTCTATATTGGCACTGCTTACACTTAAATTTAGCCACTATTGGGTTTTTTACTGCTTTTACAACTGAGTGATCTGAAACACAGTACATGATCAGATAGTAGCAAACATTAAACTCTTAGTAGCAAACATTAAACTTAATAAACTGTCTTACTTGAATATCGAATTTATTCGAGCAGTTAGCTTGTTGAGCATAGAAGGGATCAAAATTATGTTTATAATTATTACATTTCAGGTACATACATTAAATATTTTCCACTCGATCGAAATAACTTTTTTTATATTAAATTACATGTTCCGCATATTTCCTCACTTTGAAATTATTTTTTAATTCTAATCCCATATACGTGTCGTTAAAAATTAAAATGTTTTTCGTTTTTCGATTAGCACTTTGATACATCTTTTTAGAAATGAATTTATAATCTCATTATTAAAAATAATATCAAATGGAACATCTAGGCCAACAAGAGAAATAATCAATTTGGGTACTTCAAAAACATCAAGCCTCACTCGATGTTTTAAAGCTGCGTCTTTTTAGAGCTGGTGTCTGAAATATCTATAGAGAAAAAGAATGCTTTATTGATTGCTAATAAAGAGCGTGGAGAAACTCTATATTCAAAGTAAGTTTAAGTAAATTATCTTAAGTTACAATAATTTTGACAAAGTTTCACATCTCCCCATTAACATCTCTTACACTTTTCCTTTTGTTGATCCAAACAACTCGATAGAACGTATTTTGATTACATGTAATCACGAAATCTAGATAATAACTGTATCAAGAAATACCAGTAATATAATATAATTTAATATTATATTCCCTTTTTATAAGAACTTAAATAATTTTGATCAAGATCTATTCTAAATATACCTCTCATTTCTTTCGAAGTAAATATATGAATTATTAGTGTTTTTCCTGTGTGAATTATACTCATAAAAAAAATTAATTTTTACAGTTTTAAAATCAATATTACTAAATACCAACAATAGACAATAATTTGTTTTTACATCAAAAACGTTCAATTCAAATAATATACATATATGAATGTACATCAACATTTTACACTAATGGTGAATCATCAAACTTGGCAAAAAATCGTCATTTTTCTGTGTAACTTTGTGTAACTGTTTGTTCACTAACTTGTGTCATCTTTACATTTTCCTCTGTGAATTTGCTAGGACATAGGAAACAGGTATTTTACTTTTTCTCTAAGCACTATTTGGTGGTATTCCAAATACCCTAAAAAGTAATGCACATTGAGGAGATTGATCATATTTTTAACAATGAACCAAGGAAAACCTGTTAAATGTTAGATGTCTTTAGCAATAAAACTCATTTCATAAGGATGCATCAGGTTTAGTAATTTTCGCTAAACTTTAAGTTACAAGTATTTGCTAGTATTTTTTATGATCCAGTAAAGTTTTATTTAAGTACGGACACAATAATTGATTAAAATTGTAATGTATAAAAAAGATTCTTAAAAATGTCTCGAAAATAATGAAATCGTCATATAAAGATAGACAGTTAAATATTACGGAAACGCGGATATAACAAAGGCCCATCGAGTCTTCACCTCAGTTTCCGTTTCGAAAACAGGGTTGTTGCGCTTTTTGTTCTTTATTAAATTAACTGCTTATTTATACCTTATTATATTTTATTTTATAGTACTTATATACATGTTTCATGAGGAAGAGGTATTATTTTAACCACGTATAAGACGTCCGAAAATAACCCTAGTTTGTTATATAAACGATCATTCAAACAGATACGATTCGTTACGGATTTACAGGGTGTTGAAATTTACTTTAAAAAATGCCAAATCTTATTCTTTCTAAATTTCTTCAAAACACATGGAGACATTTTAACGAAATTTTCCATGAATCAATAGAAATATCAATGAAAGACGCATGTTTTACAGTAAAACAATTTTGTAAAATGTTGTTAGTGGCGTGCGTACCTGCGCGCAGGAAAATAAATAATGATACGCAACAGTATTTTTTATTATTGTAAATACTTTTCAAATTTCTTGTTTTATTACAAAAAAATATCTCCTGATCTTTTTGCTATGACAGGGATTGTAAAGTAAGATTTGTGGTGGGTGGGCTAAATTGAACACATTTAAATCCACCGTTTGTATTGGAGGAGATAAAAACGGATGCCAGTGTCTTGCTAAAACTATTAATTAATCATCTACCGTCCCGTGCGTTCTTGTAGTCTGTAGCGCATACCCTCAGTGGCAAAAGTAGATAACATATTTAAATGTTTTGAAAGGTAGACTCTTTTACTATCAATAAAAATACAGAATTAGAAGTGTTCAAAAATTAAACATTAGCTTTCAACACCCTAATCGATTCTTTGTATGAGATGAGCTCACTTTTTATGTCTTCCATACAAACCATGTTTCCACGCCAATTTGGTCCACCTACCACATACCTTACTTTAGAAAGCTAACCTATGCACAGATACATAAGATTCGCCAACCGAAAATCCGTATAGTAAGTTTTAATAATTCAGACTTTCTTTGAAAAGACTCGTTTTAATGAGTCGCGCCAATCCCGATTCGCCCATTACTCCCAGTTAGAAAATGGAAATTGTGCGGGTCCCATTAAAAAAGTATCTATACTATAAATTTAAATAGAAAAATCCCAACGCTCAGCTTATAATGTACTAAGATAGTACCAGATCGTGATAGAAATATACATAGACACGAAACATTTATAAAAACTCACTTTCAAAGAGACAAACGAAAAAGTGACAAAAATACAATTATCATGTATTATAATCAATTAGTAGAATTGTTGAAATTCTTCAGTTTTAGGATAACTACATGCAAAGCTTTGACTCGAAACATGAATCGATTTGTAAGTCTTATTGACGCCAATGTATATCACTCTGTATAAATTCTCACGATCTAAAAATCTATTAAAGCAATTAGTTAATTACTTCGTATTTGGTTTGATAATAAAACAAAATAAGTACAGCAATTCGAGTAAATACTGTTAGCCTTCTTTCTGCATTTTGTACCCAGTTACAAAAAATGAAACGGTCGTTTTATTACTAAAATATGTTTATCGCTGTAAGAAATCAACTTACCAATAACATGGTCTGGCATAGCAGCCTCCTCTGGGTTTTGATAGTCACACTGATAACATTCAAAATATTCTTCTGACGCCAATTCATTGATCACGAGACAATAGAACTGGCTAGCCACATCTTGATCATCATGCCGAAGCGTGTGATACATGCACGAAGTTTTTCTCTTGTACATATCATCACAGAATATGCATTTGTAAATTAAATTAGGAGTTTCGTGGGTAGTCTGAAACGTTAATTTACGAATAATCCAAATTCAAGATATATGAAATTTGGAAATTTTTAAAAAGTTAATTACTTAATTAATAACACTTTTCTCTAGTCAGCAAATATATCGGAATTCCCCGTGCATAACAACCGTATATTTAAAACACATTTGCCTAACCTTATGTTGTTCCATTAACTGTGCGTTACTTGTACTGAATGCACATACATTGCAGTTCAAGACTTCAACAGTGGACATTACATTATGAATGAGTTGATGCTGTATAAAACTATTCGTAGAATACGTTTTGTAAGGACATACATCGCAATGCACCCATTCTCTCTCGTTTCGGTTTGGTTTTGAGGCTTTCTTGTCTGCGCTTAATCTAGAAAAGTTAATAATTATTATTTTCTTAATCGTTGAATGTTGATACTTCTGGGTATTCAACTACCAAACTTTTCAGAATATTCTGAAATATTTTACATACAAGTATTATTAGACCATATATTGATAGATTGAAAAACAAACAACTTTGATACAATACAAAATAAAACTCTTGGACTTCCATGGATCTCATACAAACGATTAATATTTAATTCTCATGCATTGGAAGACCGCGCGGCTTAATGCACATCAATGTTTCTAACAATTAATTTTATGCAAATATCATATGGAAAACATATTACTTACGGTGGCCGTCCTCTTCTTTTCACTGGGAAAGTTTCTGCACCCTGTACGCTCTTTCCCGCGCTAGCACTAGGTTTATCCTTGCCTGTAAGGGCTTGCCATGTCTTATCCAACTGAGCTTTATTGCTTTTTCGCTTCCCTTTTATTATGGTTATTTGCACATGTTTATTATCGGCGTTTTTAACAGCTTTGCCATCATCCGAATCTTCTGAATCCGAATTACTACGTCCCACAGGGCTCGTTTCCCTTTCGAATATCTCGTTAGATGTGCTTGGATCATCAGTCTCATTTGTGGACTTGATTTCCGCCATCTTCCTTGCCCTCTTCCTGGGTGGTTCGGCTTTTTCAGCGACCTCAGTAATTTTACCTCGTTTTTTCTTATTTTGTTTTTGTCTGGCAGTCTTTTCTTCATCTGTTGATACAGCATCATCAGACTCAATATCGATTGGTGTTTCTTCGTCTCCTAGTTTTGTTGAATCATTATAATTTATAATTTTAGCAGATCTGGGGCGAGATTTTCTCAAAATATTCGGTTGCTTTGATCCTGTGGCAGTCTGTAACGCAACTGCTTCATTTGCTGCTTTAGACCGTTTCACGTACGCTTTCTTCACTAGAAAATTATTTTTTTTTACTATGTTGGACTTGGAAGAAATGTTATAATTTTGCGATACACCAGCATTAATTATTTTGACTTCTGTTGTTTCCTCTTGCAGATTATTAATCGCAACATCGCTTCCATCACTAAGTCCATCTTCTAACATATCCAAAGGTTGACAATTATCTTGCTGATCATTTAGTCTGCCTTCGAGAACATCGATAAGCTCCTGGGTAGCATTACATTCCGAAACCGTTTCTTCTACTATGCCCTTTTCATCAAGATTTAAAGTTATATCAGAAATATTTAATACAGGTGACGCATCTATAGATGCATGTAGTTCTACTTCACCTTTCTCTTGTAACAAAACTGGTGGATCTGTAGCATTATTCGGCACGAACTCGGCTTTACTTGTTGAGGGGACGTCTTTTGTATATGACAAATGATCATTATAAGATCTGTCTCTCTTTTTATATGTATTCAACGGTTTGCTGGTATTTAACACTTGTGGGTGGTTTTCATTTTCTATCGGCAAGGACTTTATTTTCAAGTTTGTTTCAATAGTGGAACGTTCTGCATCCTCTGGAACATTAGTTTTTATGCACGTGGTTGATGTCATTTCAATTTCATTGAAATTCAGTGCGTCAGGATTGGTGTCTAAGCTGTTTTGCTCAGGAGTTTTGTCAACCGCTATTTCGATTTCAATGTGTCCCAAATTTGCTATTGATTGCAGTTGGTTCGAAGTTAATTTTGCTTGTTTAAGAGCAAGTTCTTTAATTAGATTTGCATTCTTTGCACTCGATGAGATGATTTGCTCCATTGATATCACAGATTTGTAGCAATCATTGCAAATTTTCTGTAACTTCGGTACATCTACTTTCTAAAATTAAAATGATTCTTAATTGATATTCAATTTTCATTTGATAAATAAAACTCACCAGATTTATATTGCATTGCAACAACAACGCATTAATATTGCCTTCCAGATTTTTGTCCCGATATTCGTCGAACGTCGGTGATGTCAAGCACAACCGACAAATATCCGTATCCTCAGACAAATTTTTTAAGTATTCGTTTTTGTCCGGTAATTCAGTTTTCACCATTTGGCATTCATTATTTAGAACCATTTGTTTGAAAGTTTCTAAGTCGTTCACGCGCTTGTTACAGGCATTGCAAATAACAGGCTCTTCAATCAACTCCAGATTCTAGAAAATTTACATTTTTACATTACTTAGACCTGGAATTGGGAATAAGGACCTAAGTGAGTATAATTCACGATGACAAAATCAAATCGAATGAATGAATTCGGCATGAACGAAGATATTTCAAAAAATCAGTATTTATAAAGATACCGCTTTAAAAACAGCAAGTGATTATATCCACTTTTTAGAAAATCTTAAACTTAACCGTCGTAGCGTTTTATACTTATCATACACTTCACAGATATTAAGTATTAAACACTATTAAACAACGACTTTTTATCAGGAAAGTGTGTATTATACAATTTGTATATTTTCTGAACAAAATACCTACTTTGAGTTTTTACCTAGATTGACTCATTTTAAAATTGAACATGTGATTGTTTGCTAAGTGTATTTTCGACACATTCACTGTCTATAAAAAAATTATTTGCAACAGTTTGGAAGGAAATGGACTATTGAATATTGGCAAGCTCTCAAACTTGCACATACTCTTTACCCTGTAACTCGGTCAGTTATCAACATTTTTCAAAAATTCAAAAACTTTTTAAAAGCCCCAGACTTGGCGTGAAAAGATGTTTTAGGGCCAAAGTTAATTTTCGACTCCGTTTCAGCGCCAGGAAAATTTAAATTTTCAAAGGCATGAAGCGCTAGTTGTTCTTGGAAACACGCCCTTTTGTTACAAGTTTGGGCGACAAATTTTTCTTGATTCCCTTAATTCTCATTCTGTTATAAGACAAGTTTTCGGCAAAGCGACAGCCCTGGTATAACAGCGTGTTGAAAAGAGTTACATAATTTTATATTATAAAGAGTTTTATCGACCATTCTACCTTTCTTTAAAGCATTTTCTTATTCCAATGTTCCAACAATTTAGTTTTCATAACAATTAACTAATATATGTAATTCCTAAAGCTGGGATCTTCGTTATCTAGCAAGTAGATGGATATTAATCGGTAACATCACAGGCAGTAAATGTGAATTACTCCTTTTTTAATTGAAGATAAACATTTGGAAAGTCCGCCATCTATAGCCATAAGTTTGACAAAATGGTGGCAAAGTTAAAAATTCTGTAGATCAACAGTCACCTTTATAAACACTTCTCAATAACATGGATTAATTTAAAAGCTAATAAACTATTTACCTTTTGAATATCCGGGATGATATCTTCCAGCTTTTTCATTAAGATGCCATTATCTGTTAATGCATAACACGGCGAGTTTTCATCAACGCTTTGTAAGCATAACATGCACACTTTTGAATCCACACTCATATTGGATTAGCAAGATGTTCAGTTACAACAGATACCATCTATAGGCTAACTAGCGATTAACACGTGTAATTGCCTGCAATGAAAAATATTCACATATAAAAATTAAAGAATTGTTTCCAATTCAATTCAGCAAAGTTTGCGATAAACCCAAACACCACAGACTACAATTTCTTGACAATTCAAGAATATGTCAAGAATAACGCTGTCAATTCTTCTTCTCTTTCATTGATCAGTTGCGTTAAGATGCCAGTAAAGAAAGTAGGGAGATAGAGAGGAGTACGAATTTTACCGCGTCAAAAATTTTTCAATTTATGTTATAGAACCAAATAATTCTTATGTATGAACGATAACCAGAAATATAAACATTACTGTTCAGTTTTTTGAAGCTTGCCACACACATTTGTTACATATTCATGCTGTTTTATATTCAAAAGCAATCTAAATCAAATGATCCAGTATGGCGGCTGAGGGCATAACGTCATTAAACTGTCATAAACATGTTGCTCTTGTGTAACTTCTCTTGTAAGTAGTTTTATTTGAAATCAAGTACATTTTTAATAACCAACTAGGGAAAGTGAATATTAATGAACATTTTAAAGCATTTAAAATATGAGTGGAATACATTGTATAGAAAACAGGCATGTTGATAATATAAAAGAAGCATAAACAAAAATATTAGTAAATAATCACCAGGCCCGTGCTTATGTTCTTTAAATTATTGAGGCTACTTTCGTTTCTGCGTTGCTGTGCATCTTATAATTAGTTGATATGTTTATTAATTCGTGGTTTAGCATATAAAATGTGTATATATATTTCATGGAGTGTTCATTTTTTTTTAGTTGTATTAAGGTGCGACATTATAAGCTGGCGCTATGCACCTCCGAGCGTTTTGGTGATTAATTTTAAACAGAGATTCTAAGCATTCAAATATGCTTAGAACGTCTTTTCAAAAAAATACGCAACATATCTAATAGTGTCTTCACTTAGAATTCATGTAAATAACACTTACCGTTTATAATCATATTGAGCAGCACAGACATTGAAAATATTGTGACTCGCACAACAGAGCTTAAATTTTGATTACAATTTTTTTGCAAATTAAAACTGTGTGTCACTAATTTTCCAGAATATAATATTTGTTCGTTATTGATAAAGAAAAAACTGAACGTTACTGCACGTAAATACAGAATTCTGCTAATAACTTCTTAAATTTTATCCTGCAGTCAGTGAAAATTCATAATCATTGGTTGACATACTACTTCAGTTATCTTTTTGTCCTTAACCGCCATATTTGTATATTAACTTTTTTATGTGGGATTAATGAATTAGTCGGACTTCTAAGAGAACGCGCGATGGCAACTAAATGTGTTTGAGTCAGAGAATGTGATCATAGAAATGTGATCCTTGCTGCATGCAGTATTTTAATTTTGATAGAATCCACAGATCACCTCTGAGCCATAGAATCGATCTTGTCGATTGGGATGTCCCTGACTATCAGCTGACGTCACTGTAAATGACTGGCTTATAAAAACACTGATTAAGTGAGTGAAGTTTGTTTATCTCATGTTTATCTCGCATCTCTTGTTTAAATTCATCAAAGACAAGACTTGTCTCTGAATTCATTTCGGTCAACTGTAAGTACTGCACTTATTTCATATTTGTTTTATTTATGGACGGTATTTTACTTTAGTAATTGTCAGATTACAATTTCAAGTATCTTATAGGTAAGAATTAAACAACAGTTCAACAGTATAACTTAAACAACAGTTCAAATTCCACTCGATGAATCTGCATTTTTGAGATAATTGTTTCATTCTGTTACTCTGTTAGTTGACTGTCAGGGTACTGTTTCCACACGAAATTATCAGCTTGAGTTTTCTATTAAGTTAAAAAATGCCGCAACCCTCACAAATGGTTGCAACTCTGCGAAACAGCTTCAATAGTGGTAAAACGAAGCCGGTAGCCTTTCGCAAAAAGCAACTGCAGAGCCTCTTGAAAATGTACGAAGAAAGGAAGGACGAAATTATGGCCGCACTCTGGACCGATCTGAGAAAAAGTAAAGCTGAAAGCATGCTTTCAGAGCTATTTTTCTTGACGAATGATATTAAGAACTCCTTATACTATATTGATTCTTGGACCAAGCCGGAACATGTGGAAAAAGACTTGGCAAACGTTTTGAATTCCGCTTATATCCAAAGTGATCCATATGGAGTTGTTTTGATCATAGGTATGGTATTATACAGGGTGGTTTTTTTTTTATCTTGAAACGCTTAAATATTTCGGAAACGAGTGATCCGAGGAAAAAACGTTTCAAATAAGTTAATATCTGGGAGGGGGAAGTTTATTCGTGTCAGAAAAACAACGGCTACTTCGACCTTGTAGGCTAGGCAGGCGTCAACTTGATAATTTCAAATGGTAACCACAACATTTTATTGAATATTCGAATAGTACGTCAAAAACTGAGAATAATCCATCCAAAAAATCTTCTTCTATTTTGACAGGTGGCGCGGCAATTCGTAAATTATCATTTTTTTGCTTTAGATCTGCTAAACTATATATTATTTAATTGAAACGCTGAAAATTTTAGTGTCACCCTTAGCATCTATTAATGTCAGAGGAATATTTGGTCCGAAAATTGTTTGATGATGAAAATCAAATATGTACCTCCAAATCAACAAAACATCGATTTGTTTGTTATCAGTATAGCATTAATGGTTTAAAAATTCGCATTGTCAATACGTGACATTTCGAAATGTATTTTGAATATGAAGCTGTCAAAGTCATCTAAAATTTCTCTCAACTCAATGTAGGAACGCTGATAAAAGCGTAGAAATTTCAAATTGTTGACTGACATTTATTAATTTTGTTCTGAGTTAAAACCACTATTTGAATTTGATTTAAATAAGCTACTATAATATTTAATATGGGAGCATTAACTGTGCAAGAAAAAAATGAAATTATTTCTGTATACGGAGAAGCCGGCCGATACATTTTCAATAAACAAATAGATGTTGTGTTGATTTGGAGGTACATATTTGATTTTCATCATCAAACAATTTTTGGAATGAATATTCCTCTGATATTAATAGATGCTATTGGTCACACTAAAATTATAAGCGTTTCTATAAAATAATAGTTCGGCAGAYCTAAAGCAAAAAAATTGAYAATTGATGAATTACAACCCCACCTGTCAAAATCGAAGAAAATATTTTAGATAAATTATTGTCAGTTTTTAACATACTATTCGAATCTCCAATAAAATGTTGTGGTTACCATTTGAAATTCTCAAGTTGACCCCTGCCTAGCCTACAAGGTCGAAGTAGGCGTTGTTTTTCTGACACAAATAAACTTCCCCTCCCAGATATTAACTTCTTATTTGAAACATTTTTTCCTCGGATCACTCGTTTACGAAATATTTAAGCGTTTCAAGATAAAAAAAAACCACCTTGTATATATATAATTGTCCATTTATCGTTGAACATACTAAACATAGAATAATCATAGTAGGCAACGGTCGTCATTTTGTGCAAGTACTTTAAAGTATGTGTGTTTGATTTGCCTATTTTGAGCTTGCAAGATGGAAATATACTCACATACAAAAGTATTATATTTCTATTCCGCAAAGCTCACTGTCAATAAAGGCATACATCTCTCTGAAATGGGGTCTCACCAAACCCCATTATTTAAATATTTGTTGTGGTTTCTTCTGAAGACGGACTGAGGAGGACAACGACTATAGAAAGATTCTTATTTTAGTTTACTCTTAATCTTGTCAAAACGTTTCTAATCGTTGTTTAATCTATTCTATTCAAGACTTATAGCAACTTGTTTGTTTAAAAAATGCCATTTTGTATGTAATAGAAGAAGAATGGATAAAGAAGTCAACAAAGCTATTATTTTAATGAAGATGGAAGTAAAGACATTATCAAAAATCTTCCTAAACTTAATTTGTTAACTCTAAAAACAGCTTTTAAAATACTAAATTTCGTATCGATGGAAGTTTTTAGGATGGGACAGTGCAATGTGTGCAAGGTTTCTAACATTTTTTTTAAAAAACAATTTTTATCATTAGGTTGTAGCGATTATTTATGATTATATTTGTGTTGATGGAAGAAAAAGAAGGTTTAGTAAACCAACTATTCGTACAGTTGAATTAATTATTTGATCTTACTTATCTTACTTTTGACGGAAAAGTGAAAAATGTTCGCTTTTGGATTAAACAAATTAGCTTAAATCATCATGGTGTCATCCCCAGAAGATTTTGTATAGACATTTTAAAGGCATCTTTTTTTTTTTCATGTCCATTCGTAGGATCGTGGAATTATCCGTTTCAACTTACTTTGCTTCCACTCCAAGGAGCAATCGCAGCTGGTAATTGTGTCATTATAAAACCGTCTGAAGTCTCCCAAGCTTCTGCTAAATTGATGGCAGAACTTCTACCTCAATATCTAGATTCAGACTGTTACAAAGTAAGTTTTATGTTGACCTCCGGTTTTTGATCGTGTGTTCTTAAAAAACGATCTTGCAAGTACCTACAGCGTCTAACATATCGTTGGCATGATGCACTGTTATTAATAATTGGAAATTAATGGAGCTTTGCTTTATAAACTATAGCTTCAAAGTATCCAGTTGGAAAAATACGAATGTAAAATATTGTCATAGAAAAATCCATTTATAAAATTAAGGATGGGTTTTCACACCACCGCAGTTTGGTTTTGGTGGTTTGCGTGGCGCATTGATTTCAAAACAGACTCGCAGATTTTTTCAAAACTCGGTTTACACGTACGTGCAAACATTATGTTTTCTTTATTTTACTGTACAAACCAAATCTTAATATCACCTCGTATTTTCAGCTTTTTACTGATCTGGCAGCCCTTTCTATTTTTTTGTTATACTTTTTACCGCGATATATTTTATAATATAAAAATATATACGATATATAAAAAATCAGCCGAAACATATTGTATCAATAGGGTTTCCAATGGTTTCACATAGCTTCGGAACCAGTTTTTCTCTAACAGCTCCTTCACTTTGTCGGTTTTTTTTTCAGAGTAAATATGTAGGTCATATTCGTATACTGATATGCCATATTTTTATTCCTCTTTTGATACGCTTTAGAACAAACTTGCCCCTGAATTTTACCATACTCTCTTCAATCGATTGACGAACAATGTTCAAGTGTCCAGCCATAAGAAATTGTTTTCCACGACAGCCTAAAAGGCAAAAAAATCTAAATACTATAGTTTATAACGCAAAATTTTATTAATTTGCTATATATTCCACATACACATCGTTAGTTTCGTTACGTTTTATTTTTATTATATTGTTCATAGTAACTTTGTAATTTTGATCAGCGATAGTTTTTTCTTTTCTTGCGATTGAAAGGTTTATGACGGCGGAATACCCGAAACTACTGAACTGTTGAAAGAGAGATTTGATTACATTTTCTACACTGGCAATACTCAAGTAGGTAAACTTATTCACGCTGCAGCCAATCAATTCATCACACCAGTAACGTTGGAATTAGGCGGTACGATTTACCTTCATCCCAAAAGTGCTCTTTTAATTATGCTGGTTTTTTTTGTTTAGGAAAAAGTCCATGCTACATTGACGATACTGTTAATATAAATATTGCAGCAAAACGAATTATTTGGGGTAAATGTTTGAACGTAGGACAGACGTGCGTAGCTCCAGATTATATTTTGTGTACGAAAGAGGTTGAGGCTAAGTTTTTAAAAGCCGCAAAGGAAGCGATTGAGCAATTCTATGGCAAAAATCCAAAGGACTCTCCAGATTTACCTAGAATCATTAGTGATCGTCATTTTCAGCGACTGCGAGAGTTGTTAAAGCATGGCAAAATTGCGTTGGGTGGTGAAAGTGATGCCAGTGACAAATACATCGCACCAACTATTTTAATAGGTAATTTTAGGGTGTTATTGAGTTTAATGTTAATTGAAAAACCTCTCCGTTTGGTATGCGGCTTAAACAGATGTAAAAAGAAACGATCCTGTGTTAACTGAAGAAATCTTTGGGCCAATTTTACCAATTGTAAACATTGATAATGCGTATGAAGCCATAAACTATATCAACGGATATGAGAAACCATTGGCGTTGTACGTTTTCTCCAACAGTAAAAGCAACGTGGATTTGTTCATAAACAACACGAGCTCTGGTGAGTACGCCATCCAAATAAATTATAGTCAATCAAAGATCCCCAGTGTCCATCTAAACCACTTTACATCAACAATATTCAAAAGAGTTTGATAGGAAACACGAATAACGAAGCTGATGATTCTAAATTGACAAGTTCTGAATAATACAAATTGTGCTCTATTGCGTGTATTTGTAAATATTCCTTTCTCCCAGATTATTTTTGCTTTTGCTGTGTGAGTAAACGAAGCTACATCTCGCCTTTAGCCCGTAAACATACGAGACTGAAAATACGTTCGAATAAGTTCTTATTTGGACGAATATGAAAATAAAGTTCTGACGGTCACGTTTTTTTAAAGGAAATTATTCGTATTCAAGAGGATAATATACACAAAGAGTAAGATCAGGTGATCTAGCTGGCCAATTAATATGCCCACTTACATTTTGATCAGTTCCTTTCTATCCTCATGAGCGTAAAAATTTGCGCATATCAAGAGTCAAGTGTTTAGAAGGTCCGTTATATTCAATCCAAATATTTCGACTAAAATTAGGAAAAATTCCGCTAAACTATTACGGGAGACAGACGTTAAAATTTGCAAATACATATGCAGCTTCCGTGACCTTTGTACAAACGAGGTAATTTCTAAACAATTTATTCCATCCGGTACATCCAATGACGAAACTCGTTGCTTTTTACGACGCTCACTCATAAATTTGTGCGGTACTATAATATTGTATATTATATCTATTTACATCCTCGTTTCTTCCAAGCGCAGGTTTGTCAGTAAATTACGTTTTACTCAGGATGGGATTATTTTTAGCTTTTAATCATCTAAAAAATGTAATCTACTATTGTAACCTTGTGCGCTTTTATTAGTATTGAAGATAATATTTTGCGTTCCTGTATTCTCAACTCTCAAGTCCAATACTACTGAATCTCGTCAAGTAGTAGGTACATGATATACGTCGACTTAATTACAATCAGTAACTAATTTTATATAAATGTTTTGCCAGGCGTGAAAGATCTAAGCCTAACGATGCGCTTCGAGGGGCTTAGGGGAGAAATGTATTTGTGTAGTGTAAAAATTAATATTCTTTGAAAATAGAATAATGATAATCGTCAGCAACATTCCTAAGAAAACCGTCGTGTTTTTCGAAAAAGTAACTAATTTTATTGGAATTGATTGGGCAATCAGGCCATCATATCCTCGCTCCTAAATTAATTGAGGATTTTAAAACCCAACATCTATTTGTTTTATTTTCCCTCATTTACGTTCGACATTTTACGCTTAGCGCGTATTCTAATTTTTTTGCCTATTTTTCTAACAGTCTGAACATTTAACATTATTATAGGGAGCGTTTGTGTAAACGATACTGTAATGCAGCTAACCGTCGACACTTTGCCATTTGGAGGAGTAGGTTCAAGTGGAATGGGCAATTATCACGGAAAATTCTCCTTCGACACTTTTTCTCATCAAAAAGCGGTATTGTACAAGAATCTTGGTGCATTGGGCGAGAAATTAGGTGCAGCCAGGTATCCTCCTGCCACCAATTTTAAAGGGAAATATTTTGAAGTCATGTTGACGAAAAGACCTTTCCTATTTGATTTGGTTAGACGTAGCAGACATCTGTTAGGATTTTTCCTTGGATTCGCAAGTTTCTACTTGTGGAACTCGTTTGGTAAATATTTTCAATATTAGTTTGCATAGGATAAGTTTAACTCAAATCCCGTTGCTAAAAGTATGTATATTATAATATAGTTATATGTACTATATGCGCACATATGTATAGGTGTCTTTGTGCTTATGTTTGTGGTAGCAGGTTTTTTTTAAGAGCTGTATTATATTGTTATGGTATTATTATCATTATATATTTTTCTTTGTAGAAAGCAGTTTTACTCTCACAACTTTAAACGGCAGTACCGTTACTCCTACTGAGTATATACATTGACAGTGTTTATGCAAAAATATCGTGTTTCGGGCAAACTTGCCTTATCCGAAAGTTAATAGATTCCGACAGGGTCTCAAAGTGTAAATAAAAGTTTCGTTTATTTTTAAGGGATTCTGAAACGGTTTTACTACAAATTACCAAAATCATTTGTAATGGAAGATTTTTTAGATCTATTGCAATCGATTAGCTGCAATGGTCTGGAGCTATTGAAAACTGTTCTGGGCTTTAAAATACCGCTTTTTTGTTGGCAACATTTGGTTTTCCGATATTTCCTAAGTACAAATGTGTACTTACTTCTTCCAGGCCGATATCTCACCGTTTTGGAGTTATTTTACATTTTTTACTTATCCATTCAGAGTTAATTTTTTGAACCCCATAACAACAAAACAAAATATTCTGCTCAAATTTTCAATAAAATTAAACTTCACAAGCAATAGACGGTATTTATTTAGACAGGTTAAGAACTATTTGAAACTCAGCAAAGTTTTTGAAAATTATCATTTCATCATAATTGTTCAACCAAACTCCTCTGACTAAATGATCTTCTGCAGCATTTAAAATTAAATTTAAAATTTTCTTGCGCATAAACACAAACCATATCGATCAATCCAATTTGAGTTGGTTCAAAAAAACACTTGAAGTTTCTGTGTGAAATATCTCGAAATCGATGAGGGACAAAATCATATTTTTTGTTTAAGAAAAATCGGAGAACGAGATGTTCCCAACAGAATAGCGATATTTGAATATCCAAAAAAGCTTTGATGTTTTGGCTTCCGACTATTGTCGCCTAGCACCCTCTAGGAACAAGCCAAGTAATAGGAAACTAAGATTCCTCGATCTAAAAACCACAAAATACAAATATTTTGGTAGTAGTAAATTTGGTTAAGAATCTATTAAAAAAAAACGAAAATTTTATTTACGCTGACACTTATTATGTCGGTTCTACGCTATAACATATGACATAGCAACAAAATTAAAAAGTATATGTATATTATCTATCAATCACAATAATTTACAACTATCATTAATTAAATCAACTGGATTTCAGTCCTTTAAAGTCCTGTCCTAAAATAAAAATTTCGGCGGAATCCGAGCGACTCGACAACGGTTTAATAAATTTTACTTTGCTGTAAAATTTCTCAATGTCCTCTTTAAGTGAATTTCCTTCTTTACATTGCCATAATTTCACTAATACGGAAGCTCCAACATTTGATACAATTAGAGCGAACTTCACCGCCGCGTAACTCAGTTTTACGATATTTTCATCATCCAAGCTTTTAATCCCAGTTGCGCTTGGAGCCATATCAGATATTACTGCATTCGCTTTTCGGTCTCCCAAAAATTCCAGCAGTTTTTCTTGTACCTTTGGATCAGTAAAGTCTTGATTTCCAAATATTGTAGCTCCCTAAAAATAAGTTATTAAGTATATCTTATTTGATTTCAGACATTTTTATTTCAATATTCATTCATACTAGATGTGAGCAGCAAAAAGTGCAGAGAACAAATTGAATTATCATGTCTAAGAAGACTTAAATGGCAGGTGAGGATTTTCCGTGGTCGACGAACACAGCAAACTTATAAACTCTTCGTATGCGCAGAGGAACACACAAAATGCGATAGCTAAACTACTCTTGCGACATACAAGATTTGTCCTAAATTAATTCAAGTTGTAATATTTGTCAGCGTTATTATACAGCTAAAATTCTCGATAGATAAACTCTAATTTCTCGTTCATTTATCACCCGCTAAATTCGCTACGGGGGTACATAAAAAATAAACGGGATTGATTTGTTTCTTAATTTTACATTATCTACTTCATGAGCACGAACTTGTAAAGACAAGATTGTATGTATTTTTTTGTTTTTTTTATATTGCAGCTGGACATTGTTTTCACTCTTATATTAACAAACAAATTGAATGCCATCTTTTGACAATTCTTTAAACAATCATCTGCCTGCGAACTACAGAAAGCAGCAGATTTATTACTGGTAGTTGATCCTAAGTATAGTCTTACCTCGATAGGATAAATCAGTTGCTGATCTATAGCCACCACTGTTCCTTGAGGCGTCAATTTGTTAGAAAAGTCTGCATTAACTCTTTTAACAGCAACTTGGGTCCAAGAGCCTGGTGCAGCTCCACAATCAATTACAGAGAATCCCGGCTGCAAAATCTTAAATTTATCATCTATTTCTATAAGTTTAAATGCACTTCTACATCTATAATTGAATTTCTTTGCTTGTTCGACAAAAGGATCCGATAGTTGTCTGGAAAGCCATTCATGAGAGCTACTCTTCTTCGTTTTGTTAGAGGGTTGAACTTTCTTGCAATGGAAATTGGATAAACTAAAATTTCGGCACTGATAAGTACATAAACGACAAATGTTCTTCATTGTATAGAAAATTTTCTAACTCAGTAAACTTCATGTAAACTTTGCTTGTTATTGAAATTCTTGTGAGGTTAGGAATTATATTTTATATTTCTTCTTCTTGCCTGTAAATGCGTTTGCCAGCTCTTTTAGGTAATGATCCCAAAGTTGTCTAGCTTTTTCCAAGAAATTTTTACATGGTGATTCAAAACAGGCGCCATTCCTCTGGGGGTGTTTAGGGGGTATGGGAAAAATAGTTAAAAAATAATAATTCGTATAACAAACTGAGATATTTGCATAAAACTACATCAGAAGGTCGGCAACAATGTTTGTTAAGGTCATCTGTCTCATTAACATTACGTGAATACCTGTTGCTTCTTTAATATCAAAAGCGCAAGTTAAAATTAAATCGATTAGGGTAAGGGGATAATACTCGGAATACTAGTAGTATTATATGCACCTGAAAAGTTCTATACTTATTTATTTTTGAATCTGTCTTCGCACGCCGAAAATAAATCTGTTTGAACTGCATGCAATAACTGCGGCTATTTTTAAAAGCAACCCTTATATTGTGAACACCGCGTATTTATTTAGGTATACTTACGTATTTACTTGTTCGTGCTAATTATTATTCGCGCAAGATTAATTGCTGTGTAACTGTCGCCTAAGCGAGTTGATATTTTGCCGCATCCAGAACTAACGTGAGGCACTGTTGCGTTTGGTCTGAACGCGGCATTAGCTCTAGAATTTTCCAAATAAATAGAGTATCTGGTGAACATTATCCCTCAACTCTTTCAATATGTAACAAATATGTCTCTTAGTGCATGTCCTTCTTGATTCTTCGAACATTTTCAAATATTTGCTTAGTTATGATTTACAAATAGATCAGTAGCTCAATATTTACATTTCGTTCTTCAAGATAAATAAAACTAAGAAATTAATTTTATAAATATAATTCCGCAATATCTATATTTGCACGCAAAAACACGTGCATTTGTGCTAATTGGTGCAATAATGGGTAGCCTGTAGATATAAGACCCGCTCAACATTCGCCGTCTTCTTCAGCATTTGCGTAAAACACTGGAATTGGTTTGTTCATTGCTTTGTATTCCTGAGAATGAATTAATTCAAAGAACTTGTTGTCCACCAACGGTTTGCTGTTTTTCTTCCCGATTTTGTGAGCTTTTAATAGATGCAAATATTTTTTTTCGAACTCTTTGTACTTTGCATACCAGTCATACTCTTCGCTGGTTAGAGTACTTTCCCCAATCGTTTTCACTTTGTGGATAATACCCCCATAAGTATCGCAATAGGTAACATAATCCTGGTACCAATCAGAACTATCAACGCCGGAAGGAGTTTTTTTGGATTTTGCAAAGATTTCTTTTTCCAGCGATCGCAGGTCGCGATACTTAAGACTAGTCTTTGATTCTACGTCGGACTTTTTCGACGCTTGTATGCTCATTTTACTGATGTGAGTCTGCTTTGGAAGCGCCTTTCCCAAATCTTTGCTTATGTTGCGATAAAACGGGTGTTCTTTTATCAGTAGACTGTCGTCCTTTTCTGCAAATCCATGCCAAGCGTTTCCATTGGGATCAATTAATGTGACTTCTCCGGTCGGGATGTTGTCCGCAAAGTTACAAATCAAAGACACGTTATCCTCCAGATGATAAACTCCAGGACCTAGAATTTTAACTCAATTACTGGTAATTATCCAGAACAGTTTCCAATGACTTATATTTTTTAAACAAATAGATTTTACGACTTTTGTTTAGAATCTGAGTATTTTTTTCTATCGACGCTTGCAATTGTTATATAATTATTTCCATTTTGAACAAGATCAAACAAGGGTGATTCAAAGTTGGCGTCATTCCTTTTACGGGTTTCAGGGGCTCAACAACAATACAAATACAACTTTTACGGTACAAATTGAGCAGGAGATAATTAACCGAATACGAGAAGCAGCTCAAAATGTGAGCCCAGAATGCGGCGAAGAGTGCAGTGAATAAAGTGCAGTGAATATTGTGATTTAACAACTTAATTGTAAATAGATCATTGATCAATAACCCTTTTCAGCAGGTTTTTGTTGACATTTGTCCCAAAAAGGTTGGAAGCACTGCCAGCAAAGTATGTATTTCTAATCTGTTTTATTGTCGTTATTTTCACTTTATTTCACTGATAATTAGGAAGCAACAGGTATTTACGAAATGTTAATGAGCCAGATTAGCTTGAAAAACAATCTTGCCTTCCTTCTGATCTAGGTTTTTGCAAATATCAGTTTTTAATAAAAATTAATTTTTTACTTAATTTTTCTGTACAGCCCCAGAGGAATTACGCCAATTTTGAATCACCATGAAGAATTGGAACATTTTTTTTATTTCTTTAATATATTTGCCTATCTATAGAAATCGCGCATACCAAATATCAGCATTCAAGTCGCAATATTTAGTTTGCAATAAGCAATTAAAGGTGTGACCGCAGGCTATTCATTTGAAAGGACAGTAAGCGCGCGGGATTGGTCGTGACGTCATAGCGCTAATTCGTTCGATCGGAAGGCAATACGGGAATACGGCTTGTCGTTTAATTGTCTGGGTGTTTGACTGTTCAGAATTCGTGCTGTGCTTTATTAATAATGGAAGCAACACAAAAACAATATTACAAATGCTGTATAGTGCCACTGCGTCCTAGTACAACTTTGAAAACGCCAGATAAGCTGTTTATTCGTATACCACAAGATAAAAGGCGAAGTTTAAAATGGTTAAAGGCATGCGGAAGAGCTTACAAGAATATTTCTGAGAAGACTACTGTTTGAATTTAGCAAATTAGAGCCATTAAAACCCGCATCTATCATTTTATCGATTTATGTAAGTAAAACTATAGACTATTTTGTCAATAAATCTACTTGTTAGCTTTAACACCGCGAACTTTAGCAAGATTAAAACTTTCGGTGTTTTTAATGTAAGATGTCACCATAAACATATCCACTAGTGGTAAAATGTCAGATTATCGTTTCACAAACCCTGCGTCAGTTATTTTGAAAGATTTTCTTTTTCTCATAATACACTATAGAAACGTTTTAACGACAATATCAAGATTGAGGTTACATGTTTACATGTTCCGCATTGTAGCCGCCACGACCGACTAGCTACTTGACGTCACAACTGGTGCCAGGCAATGACGGCGCGTTACAAGAATGATTTGAACTATACAGTTTTTAATTGGTTATATTAATTACATAGAAATAAAAAATGAGTTTTTTGGTAAACTGTGGTGTTTTTGTTTTGATAGTATTAAGTTACGTTTGCGAGTAATATTTTTCAAGTTTAATTTTTCTGCAAATTTCCCATTCTTCAAACTAGAAAGCTATTTTCTAGAAATACCAAGACTGGTACATGTAATATTTAATGATAACTTTTGAGGTTTGTTTTTTTCTATGTGTGCTTTACTTTGCAGCATCAAGGCACGATCATATTAGTTCCGAATTGCTTATTCTCATTCTTTGTTGGGCCTTCAGCAATTTTTCCTTAGTATATTTATTTAATTAAATGTATTTATATGGATTTATTTTTTAGTATTACTATGTATTTCCTTAACGTTCCCGACCAATGAATAATTTTTGTTTTACTGGCTACTGTTTTCCATCTGAACCTTTACAAGTATAGTTAAAATAAAATAAAATTTCAATGAAATTGACTACAGCATTAATCCATGACAATCTTCTTGTTTTATCAGGTATTTTTACCTGAAAAAGCCATCCAATCTTATCATTTTGAGAACTAGAGCATTTCTGCTTTCAAATATAAATTATTTATGCTAAAGACTTTAGTGTAAATATTTTCTTGAGACACTTAAAACATTATTTTATATTCTTTTGAAGGAAAACACACTTGCATACCTGTGTACTGATTTTTCAACAAAGACCCATAGTATTTGACTCCACCTGGATATACTATTTCCACATCCTCATTCTCAACTAACTTATCACCATCCCACTTGCCTGTATATATTTGCCCATCTTTCGTTGTATAAGTTCCTGTAATTAGGGAAATTGTGTGTGTGAAATTTGAAACAGATAAATCTTATTACCGTGCCCTTGTCTCCAAACCAAACCACTTGCATGCGCACAATATTCTCCTTGGTACGTGTCTCCATTGCTGAACTCGAATTTTGAGGTACTTTGATGGAAATTGGGGTCCAAGAGAATTAATTCTGCATACGAGGCACTGCCTTCAACGCCTTTCTGTGTTGTTTCCGTCGAAGTTTTGCCTTTTTTCGATTTCTTTGGCATTGCAAAGATGCAGATGTTAAATTGACAAACTTGTCAATGGCATCAGGTAATTAAAGTATCTCCCAAAAAAGTATTAAAGTTTGTTAAAGCGCTGTTTTTAGCATTATTTGCAACGAATATTCTTCATTATTAAGACCTGTAGCATTTGCAATCGAGAATTTGTAGTACTTTTCTCGACAATATTAGCAAAATTGTGCACAAAAGTGTTGGACCTTATGCTTTCTCTTGTAAAAAACAAGCGCTCTTTTCCTTATTTGTCAGTTTTGAAGCACTTCAAAATAACTCTTTAGTTTTAAAAAATTTTGAATCTCAAATTAAGACGTTTGTGTCCAAATCGTTGAATGTTTGTTGCTCCAAATGAATGAATTGGGAAAGAAAATCAAGAAAAAACTAAGAAATGCTTGGAATTCCAATATTTGCAGTTGTTTTTGTGCCCATCATGTGCGTATTATTCAAGTTTATGTATACCTATTTTGTATTTACTTCGATGTGTTAGGTAAAACAATCAATATATTTGTTTTTAAACTTGTATTTTCCAAGCTTTTGAAAACGCAATTGAAATAAATGCACTTTTATTCAGAAAATTTTGAAACATGATTATATTATACGCACTTAATGACTAGGCGTAAATAATTAATTGTTTTGAGATGAATTTATGGATTAGGTAATTACCCATTCATTACTAACATTCTAAATAATTGACGAAATAAATATTCCGTTTAAGGAAAGCGAGAACTCTAAAGAAAACATGGTAATGGACAACATAATTATCACAAATGAAAATTTGCAGTCGCTTATGATAAGAACGCTGCAGCGGCAAGCTGATGACGAGGAATTTCACATTCAGATGAAAAACACCCTGATTTATCTAACAACCACGATAGACCGTTTTTTAAGGACAACTTCAAGTGAAACTCAAGACAATTTTTCTACACCAATTGCGAAGTTATCTAAGTTTACAATTACCGTATCGAAATCCAGTTTAAGTCAATGCCATTCAGATGTGAAAAATAATTCTTTGGTGTCTCTGAACGGAATTGAACGTAACGAAGCATTTGATACTTCTACCAATTATGCATGTTCATTGCATTCAGATTTACTCCTACATGGAGCATTTGGTAGAAAAATATTATGTCAAAACATTTCAAGCGATAAAGCTACTCAATACTACCCAAGCTCGTACAGTTTGACCGAGTCCAAACTTATCCAGACCCATTTCATTAGTTTAGCGTTTTTCGATATTAAGGGATTCAAGCTGAATTTATTACGACATATCAGAGCATTGAAACAAGATGTCGCAACTTTACGAGAGCTGCTTCCATGCGTTGAAGAGTATCAGAGCAGAAATTGCTTTGATGCCCGAAGTTTAGCAGAACCAAAAACTTACTTCTACCCAGACGATGAGTTTGAGTTCAAGTTTATTCAAGCGAAGACTCGAGCGACAAATTTTGTTAAGTTTTACAAGCTGAGAAAGCTTTGTGTTTCGAAAAAAAGCAGCCGTAAGAGAATTAAACAAATTACTTGAGACTCTTGGTTATTTCCTGTTGTTTAATACGTTTCTATACAGGGTTGTAAGACTTTTCAGATTTCAGTTTATATATATGTGGTATATCGCGAGAGATGCGAAATCAAGTTGCAGACAGAAAACTGGTGTTTAAAATGTTTGACAAAGGTTGGTGCTGCCATTGCCAAAAAAACCCAATTTGTTTAAACAATTGTTTTTCCTATATGTCTAGAGATGATACATGTTCGGATATGTGAAAACACTTATTTATGTAATGAAAAAGTCTAATTGCAAAGATCAACTTGGAAAAACTTACGGAGCATTGTTGTCTCGATAGGCCTGGGAAACACTGTGTTGAGTTGCGCTTTTGAGTTGTTGCCACTCTCTGAGTTAATGAGTTATAACTAATCGGTTAATGAGTTACAAGTCATTTATCAAAGCTTTACTAGACCCGGGACTGGAATTTTTACATCTAAAAAAAGGTCATCAACATTCCTTCTGAGTAACGTTTTACTACTTTGTTCAAACAACTAAAAAAAGTCATCTAGATTTTTCCAGCAACCGAACGGAGTCCAAAGAAAGTCGACAAATATTCTTGTAAAATCGATCTCTTAATTTTTTTGCATAAAAGATTCAGTTTGCCAGTATTTTATAGTAAAACGTTAGAAAAAACGCAGTTTTTCTGTTTGGAGACAGTGTTGTTTAGAAATATTGACCTAAAAGTGAAGAAACACAAGTTTCGAAGAGTTTGCCAAATAAATGATTATAAATTTCTGCTTTTTCAGTTCGCAGAATTTTTCTGGAAAAAGACCCAGAAATAATTATCAGGGTTTTGTCCAATTCAAAGCTGCAAAAAGTTTTCCAAATATTTTTGCAAAGCGGTTAAAGAGGCGAGTATTTCAATAAAATTTATCTTATATATTTTCACAGAAAATATCTGACGATTGTCAGTATTTTAAGTGAAACTAAAAAATAATGCGATTTTTGCGTAGAAAGAATTGATTAATAGAAACTTTGTTCATACAGGAATGACCTGAAAATTTAAAGGAACTTTAAAAATCTTCAGAGCGATGAGGGCGGCAAATTACTTTTTACTTACAATAATTTTTTGAAAACTTTTGCTCTGGTCGTTTTTTCAAGATAATCCTAATTACTTTCGGTAAAAAACTGAATAAAATTATTTGGTTTTCGTCCCAAATTCGAAGCTGAAATGGGTTTTCTATAGTTTTCTGCAAATCCATGAATGAGGCGAATTCTCTAGTAAAATTAATTTAGTAATTTTTGGCTGAAAAGACCGCATCATTGTCAGAAAAGAAGAAAATCATCAGAAAATAATGGTTTCTGCGATATCGATTAAAAACTTTTAGTTTTGTGATCAGTTTGGGAGAAAACCCAATTTCGGGGTAAACGGGAGGAATTTATTTTCGTTTTTGTCCCGAATTCGACGCTGAAAAAAGTTGTAAAATTTTCACAAAGCTATAAATTTATCATCTCGAATTTATATTTTTYGAGTAAAAACCCTCCAGATCGTCAGTATTTTTAAGTGAATCCAGCGTTTTTGAGTAGAAAGTAAATCAAGCAGAAATCAGTCTACTGACTAAAAAAACACTACTAACTAAAAAAACAATTTTTTTTTACCAAACTCTACAGTCTTCAGAGGAATGGAGGTGCCGAGATTTCCAAATAATCTGCTGTAAACTTTCGCTTATTCTGTTCGTTTTTTGATATAAAATTATTTAATTTTCATTCCAAATTTAAAGTTTAAAGATATTTGAAAACTTACAAAGCGACCAAGGATTCGAAATTCATTTCATAATTTTTCGCGGAAAATACCTTAAGATTATCCGCATTTTTATGCAAAATTTTAGAAAATTGAACATTTAGAACAAAGAGGAAATTGCCTAAAACTGTAAAATTCTGAATTTTGATAAAATTTAAAAAATATTAATAAATGGTCCTTAAAATAAATTTAAAAACAAGTAACAAAATTATCTCAGTTACCCAGGCCTAGTCTTGAATGCTTCTCAAGACACCTTGTAGGTACATTAAAGATAATTGTCCTAATCTGGAGATTTAACATGATAATGAAATAAATCAAGGATGAACTCGGCTAATAGAAAAGTCAATTTTGCAACATACACAACTGGAACACAAACAACTTTGTGTTGAAAAAAGTTAATTTTTTTTGCATTTTTCTGCATCATTTCGTTCATTGACGGAACATTACCAACAACTTAATCGTTAAAATTAACTTTCGCTTATATTTTCACCCACTTAGTTTCCGTATTTGCGACAAAAACTGCCAAAAACCACTAAGCAAAATGACTTTAGAAATTTAAATTGTAAAACTTGAAAGCTCCTACCTGGGGTGGACGATTCGATTATTTAATGATTTGTTCGTAAACAAAGTTTCCGAAAAGAAAATCCTTTAATTTTCTCTTTCGGTTTCAGCAGCATTACAATTTTTCGATTATTTCTTTAACCGTCCTAAAATTTATTTTTACTGATTTGCTTGAAATATTTTCATTAGTATTTTCTGTTCCTATTGGTATATTAGAAGAAATCAATGTCTACTTGATCCATTTAAAATTTTCTTATTACCTAACAAAAATAAATTAAAATACATATAAACATATAACCATTTAGATCGTGCATTTAAACCAAAACTATAACTTCCACAGGCCAAGGTACACTGAAGATATATAGGAGCACCTTACGCTCTTTTCTGGATTAAACTGGCAAAAAAATTACCGTCTGTCTGTGTTTAAAAATGCACAATTTTTCAATCTAATAATGATTAGAAAAACCGCATTTTTTCATTTTCTGTGCTATTACAGAAAGTCCTAGCAAATGCCTTGTTATTTATTAGGTACTTTGTCAAACAAACCAACTGATGTCATTTCTTTTTAGCTGCCTATAGTATGTTTTTCTTGTTTATAAGTTACATCAATCAAATTGTTGGTGCCATTATTTTGATATCATTTCTTGTTTATGTGTGGTGAGCTAAGTCTATTATAGAACTAGTTTTGAAATGTTGTACTAAACCTCTTTGCTGCGTGATTACTGATGGGTTTATATGTCTTTAGTAAAGTAGATTGTGCAGTGAGAGAGCTTTTGCACGTTTTCTTTACTTGTTTGCTAATGTGTCTGTTTGCATCTGCTATTTTCGTTACTTAAAGTACATTACAATTAGAATCGTTCACATTTCAAACTTTTACTGACCTTTCTTTGAACAAAGTCGTACTAAACATAAGCGAAATTTATATAATAAATAGAGCTTCCTTCACAATAAATAAGTTCTTTACACATTTAGTGCGAATGGTTTTCAAAAAAGTTAAGCACTAAAATTAAATCAAACATTGTAAAAAATAAAGGAATAACTTTAAAACAATAACTTAAAGAAAATCTACAGAATAAATCTGTTTTATCCAAATTCAAATGGTCCACATATAAACTGTCTTGAATGAGCATTATTTGTGCTCAAGTGCAAGTTTTGGTACTAACCTTTATACAAAACAAAATTTATGAAGTCTGTGGGTTAAAATAAGCCACTGACTTTTTGAAATTAAACATTTCTTTTCCAACAAGTTAGTAAAAACTTGTATTTTTTTTTACTGAAACGTGCAGTTGCGTTGTGGATGAAATTGAAACAAAATCTCGAAAACAAAATAATGTTCTTTGCTGGCTCTATCTTGCATACAATTTTATTTAATTTTTTTGTGTTCACTGCAAGACTGTGTCTATATTTTTATTTGATCGATACACTTTTGCTTGCATATGTTCATTTAAGAACTTAACGATAATTCTTGCAAAAACTGCATTTTATACTTATTACAGCACCTTGGCGCCAGGAAATGCGTAAATAAAATAAAAATGGAAGAATCTTTTCTACCGACATTTTATATCTAGTGGCATCTTCTTCCTTCTGAATAATTACTTATTTACTGATGCCATAATTTAGCGGTGGTAGAAAAGGTTAAAGCTTTTTATAGAGTCAATTTTATCAAGTTATACAATACCGATTTAAAGTGATTGCGCTTTAAAACAACCGATAAAAATACATTAAAGCATTTGATTTAATTTAAGTATGCCAGCGTTTTAACTCAATTTTATACGGTAATTTTTATAGTTGGGAATGGAGGATTTTTCCATTCTAATTATCTAAAGAAATAATTGGAAACCTGGTCAGTTTAACGGTCGCATACAAAAAACGATTTTTGTAATAATTTCTATTTTAATGATTAAATACATTTTGAGTAAATTTGATATACATGTTGATGCAATTTTAAATTAAAAATAAGTATGATTTACTTACATCAAATCAGAAGGTTCAAAATGTTAAAAACGTGTTTCAAGTGATATGTTTATTGAAACACTTAAGTTATGTTTAATGGAGCATTCTGAGTAAACATTTAAGGGTTACTCCATTTTTTTAAAATAAGAAAATTTTGCATCATGCAAGTTTTTCTTTTCGTTGGGTTGTATCTATTGTTTTGGGTTTGGTCGTCTTATAACGCAAGGTAGACGAGTAGATTTTGTTGTTTGGACATCATTTTGTGCTTCATATGGGTTTTTAAGATCGTTTGACTTTGGACACACAGTCACGAAACATGTTTTGATGATATTATAGATGGTACGGAACATATGTATGCTGCTATATTTTATTTATTAATATTGGGAGTATATGATATGCGCATCAGAGCACAACTTCCCCAAAGAGCGTGAAGGAAAACAGTCACCGCAAATAACTAAGAAAAACCATAAGAAAATTGAACGATAATAATTTATGAAATCATACCTTTAGTATAAAATCGATAGGAAAGCGATCGAAGCATGAGTTAAATGATGTGAGTGAAATAACTCCAGATTACCTATATCTTTTTCTGCTAATATTCTTAACACACGAAAGAATACGTTACTTCTAAAATAGGCTCAATTAGAACTTGAAGTTCAGTAATTTAACGCGAAAGAAAGTAAATACTTAATTAGATGGGTAAAAGCATTTTTTTTAAATGAAATCCTAATTATAATAAAGAAACAATATCACAGACAAAAATTTCCTTTATTTTATTTAAATGTATATAAAGGTATTACAGTTATTATGACTAGTTACCGTACAGTCGAAGACCCAGTTTATTGTTTGACTGATAAGTCGCTTGAAGTGATTTTATAGTTTTAAATAAAGATGTATAAAAGAGTATCAAAAAATGCTCAATTCAAAAACGCTATTTGTTCTAAGAAGCTCAGCATATGTCCTAATTATATAAATACGCGATTAATACATGATATACAAGTAGCGCCGAATAGATATTGCATTGATATTTATTAGCTGCCATAACTCGACTCGGTAAAACAGAAAAAATGGCAATATGTGTGTTAATATAATTAAAATTTACGTATATTTGAGGTTTTTAAGGTTTGAGTAATAATTTCAAATATGGATAGAAACTCCCTTGCCAAATGTTCAGCTTTCGAGAATCGCATGGAAAGGAACATTAAATGCTAGACTTTGCGTCGTCAGGTATCATCGATGACCTGAGTTTCTTAGAATCGCTCGTTTGCATTCTTTGGAGACCTTTTATGGCATGCTTACCTAAATATCTTGGAACCAGCCCTTTTGTAAAAACACACAAGTGTTAAGTAGTGGAATTTATCAATTCAGGTAGTCTTTTCACATAAAAAAAATTAATGAGAACACGTACGTTTTGGGCTTTAAAGCAGCGATTGTGGCATTTTATCCGCCTAAGGTTAATCCGATTTAACATTCTAATTATCACTAACATTTCTCAGGTTCATCATATACGTATTTACTAAACATTAGATCTTTTTAAAATGAATACATAATACGGTCTTCTCTTATTCCTTCCCGCAGTCATCCTCCTTGTATTGAGCAGCAGGGAATAATTTGGTCAATTAGTATGATCAATTTAGGATAATACACATAAAAACAATTGAATCGCTGTAAACGTGCAACTTACGATTGTTTATTGTACAGTAAATAATAATTACTGTATCATTAACTGTTCGGAATCAACATTGATGTGTATCCGTAATTACAGCGATGGATTTTGTGATACAGGGTAGTTCCATCTAATACTTAGAGCCATTTAAAATGTGCTTTATTTGAAATTTCACTATGTGTGATGGTTTAAATTAAACCATTGTACAGCGAAATTCGCGCTATACTTAATGCTTAATTTGTTAGTTTAATTATACTGGCAATAATCTGAATGCATGAAATATTTTATCTCACAGTACCTCATTTCTTACCTCTTACTTTATTTTTTCAAAAATTTCACTCAAAAATATGCGTGCAGTAAGAACAGGTCTTTTGTTCATCTTAGTAAAGTATCTTTATAAAGTTGAAAAATGGCAGTGGGCAGTTTTTAACAACCGATCCGCAAATAATCAATATAAGTATTGTTTGTTTAATTCTAACTGCAATTTTGTATAACCTTTCACAGAAGGTAATTTGTAAGCCGACATATTTTGCAAAAAACGCTTGTGCAAATATTTTAATATTAGGCAGATACACCCTGTATTATACCACAATTTTTCATCTCTACTGGAAACATGCATTTTGTTGATTATATGATATTTGCTACAGTCCATAGGCGAAAAGTACATGCTGGCTCATTCTGAGTTTGTTTTAAATGTTAATGTAAGAGAGTTTCGTTTAAAGCAGCAAACAAAAAATATTATGCCTAATTAATTTAGTATGTTGCATTAGGAATAGTTATTTTTTTAACTCTAATAGACAATATTTAACAACTTAAAGAAATTGTTAAACTTTTTGGAAACGACACTTTACTACAAATCATGAACATCTTGTAAATATACTTCTCACTTGTCTGACATGAATTATCTTGAAAAAGCTTCAATTAAAATTAAATTTTCAAATTACTGGGCATTCTATTCTGAACACTTCATTAAATATTTTATAGAAATGGAAACAACCTGGGTTATATGTATAGGTGACCAAATTCAGCAAAAACAAATTTCACATTTGAAAATAGCTACGGTATGCGAAAAACAAAAGATCGAAAAATTTAGCTACGAAAAAAAATTTTGGCTTGAGTTTATATATCAAACTAACGCTGTGTTTTTTTGAAGAATCTAATGTTTTATGTTCTTAATTATTGCCCACCTTGTTACATTATCCTAATAGGTTGCGCAAATAAATAAAATTTAAAGAAATTGCTTCAAGATTTTCTTTTGCTTCAATTCAATTCAATTGCTTCAAGATTGGAAATTTTTATTTCCAATTCATTTCCGGATTACCAAAATTTATGGTTCCAGAAGGTGATGCTCCACCACATTATGCACTTCAGTTTGGGCGATTTCTCGATTAAGGAGCATTTTCCATTCAAAATGTTATTTTTAATGCATTCATCTTAAAAATGTAAATAAATCTAAACTTAATTTGATTACCGACTTAAAATTATAATCACAAGCTATTCTCTTTAAATTAGTCTAAACACAATAAATGCGGCCCAGCATAATCCATGCTGGGCTGTTAATCCTTTGGGATTCTGTTAATGAAGTAAGCAATAATTGCTCTTTATTGCTAAATATAATGTGGGTCTGATGCAATAATTTTATCTTTACCACACATTTTTTCTTTCACTGCCATTTCCTCGCAAACAAGTTAATATCGGCGAAGTATAGGTATTAAAAATACTCTTTATTTTACTTTTACAAAGTTCAAACAAAAAATGGAGGAGCCATTTGAAAATTTCAGCTTCAGGGTCGTTCCTGTTCTATAAAAAAATGCGCTCTTAAAAATAATAAAACAGCTGTACGAGAAATTTCTCTGTTTTAATCGAAATTATTCCTTTTTTGTATTTATTATGCACTGTAGTATTGTAGTATTGTAGTATTATGTGGTGACTTCTGCTTTCGTTTTTTTGTTATTTTTACTTAAAATGTGTGGCAGCATTTAAAGCATTTTTTTAATTGTAAGTAAAATAAGCCCAACTTGATAGGGCAAAGTTTTTGTCTGCCGCATTCTTCAGAAGAACTGCAACAAGAAACTTAACTCAGTGATTTAATAAATTAAACTTAAAACCGTGCATATCAAAATGATTTTTTTTCTTTACAGGTTGAGCTCCTCGCACTAAAAGCCAAGATAATTCTGCAATGGCCCAGGTAAGGGATAATAAATAATAATTCATAAGTCTGGCTGATAAAATTAGTTTATAATACTTTAATATTTCTAACAAAAACAAGAAAACACACATCTGTTTATAAGCAACTGATTATTACGACATTCTACGAAATTGGTCTGCAATTACTATTGATAGATCTGACCAGCAATCTGGTAGTACAATAAAATAATAATAAATAATAAATAAATTACTAAACGTAATACTAAGAATTAGACGTGATGTTTTAAAAGTTTTGTCTTATATGTACAGTAACTTTGCTAAACGTTAATGCAAATAAATCATATGCCATTGTTTTATAATAAAAATAAAACCGGAATGATTCTGGTAAACATGTTCGGTGGCGAAAAAACAAATAAACAGCGAAAAACGAGTCCTACGACTAAAGTAAACTAAAAACTGAAATAGGTGCTTTGCTTCTAATTACTTTTCTACAACGAAAAATACTGAACCATTCTTTAATAAAATTACTGTACAACTTACAACTGAAATGGTTAGAGTTAAAATGTTCTATTGCACTAAATGTTGCAAATTGCAAAAAAATATCTAAAATTACAAAATATAAAAAATACTTAGCTAAGACTTTTTCAACTTGTACTGTATTGGTTATATATTTTTGGGTTACGGTAGGTTACCTACAATTAATTGACTAAGTTTTCTCTACGTTTATTTACACAACATCGACACAGATATACAGGATGGCCATAAAACAAACAATATCCAACGCATGCAATCATTCACCAGCAAATTATAGCAGCACCTATTTACATATTTAAATAATAATCTAACGGTTGCAAAATATTTCATGGACACCTTATATACAGAACGTTGGAAAAGTTTGGTTGAATTTTATCTGACTAAAAAGCTGTAGTTGCAAGAGATGTAATGTTATATTGGCATGCTTTGGATATTATATCGACAAATTATGGCATACTTAGCTAATTAATAGTACAGCTCTTGCCGCATTTTGGCTAATCATATTTCCATCATTTATTAAACTGTCACTAAAAAACAACCGTCTTTTCCAAGGAAACTACAAAACAGCTACTTGAATAAATACACTAAATATATATACACAAAATCTACAGCGTTAACATTCCTGATATTAGTTATGCAAAAAGTATTACCTATGACTCGTGTGTCCATTTTTATGGCCAAATAAATAGGTAAGGTCATCCGTGGGAAGAGACCTGTAAAATTCGGAATTTTTAAATTTGTTGTTGTTAAAATTGAAGTGCTTTCTAGAAAACCTTAAGACGATCGGCTTGTGAATATCTTCGGACGACCATTTTGGTGGCATAGTATTGCCATATTTTTCTCTGGCTCTTTTGTTTGCAAATTGTTCTGTAGTTGCAAATGGAAATTGATACTGTTCCTCGTTATCTGGAAGAACATGCGCTTTTCCATATGGATTAGAACGGCGTTGCAGATCTGCTGGCAATTCGCCGTCTACGCGCCTAGCGTCAAAGTTGTAGTGCCTCTTTGGTGGCAGAAGAATTCCTTGGATTTGCTCCGAAGGCTCGGGCGTTACAATTTCGTTGAAGAAATTGCCAGTTTGGTCATCCACATCTCTGGTATGATGGATTAAACTCTCTTGTTGGTATTTGGAGTCGAAATCGGGGAATCTGATGTAGTTTCCATTTGGATGACTGCGAGGCATGACCACTTCTTCGCTTGGGAATTTTACGAAGTTTTTCGTTCGGGCGTTTGCCACTTGGCCAAGGTCGAAATATGGGTGATAGGTGGTAGCCACCGGGTGGTATGTGGTAATTTTTGGTGTAGTTGAAGTTGCTCCACTACTACTTGGAAGTGTAGTTGTTTCGCTTTCCTCTGTTGTAATAGGGAGGACCGATGTACTTTCTGAATTAGTTGTAGTTGTAGTGGAGATTTCCGTAGTAGTATCGGAAAATTCCGTTTGACTGTAGGAACCATCTGAATCAACGATAGTGGTTTCTTCGGTGGGCATAATGATGGTCGTAGGCGTGATCGTACTATCCACGTTATCCTCCATCGTGGTAGTTTTTTCAGGAGTTGAGTATGGACTGGTAGATAATTCTTCGACTTCAGTAGTGCTCATTGGCTCAGTTTCAGTTTTCACTTGGTATTTTTCAGTCGTAACTTTAGTTAGTTTTTTCAGCTCATCCTCCAGCACATCTACATGCAGTTTTTGGTCTCTCTTGTCAAATTTAGTGTTATTGTCCTCTCCGTTATTATCACTGGACTTTGCGGTCTGGGTGACAATGATGGCCATGTCATGTTCTTCTTCAAATTCACTACCATAATCATCGCCAAAGTCCATAATTAAAGGGATATCCACCTTGGTAGGGGCAGAATTGGGCTCTTCAGGTATGCTATCATAATCCAGTTCTGATCCAAATTCAGCGTTGAGTTTGCTCAGCAAAAACGTTAGCTGATTATCTTCCCTGAGCTTAATAATTTTGATGCAACGCCCCATCGAATCGGAGTTGTAGCCCTCAGCACAAGGCGGAAGATCTTTTGGTGAAAAGGTGGGGGCGACAAAAACACTTTTTGCGGTGATGCGATGCTTCGGCATATGCTCTCCTTGGGTTTGTCGGTTTTGGTTCTGATCATCCACCAATAGCCAAGCTTCCCACGAAATTTCCTGATTCTTGCGGCTCAACGGGGTGGAAGGAAACGAGCACACCGTCGCGAACAAACTTAAGATTAAAAGCACATAATTTAACTGTACTGTAAGCATCATTGAGAGGTTGAACACTTTCATTCCAGGGAACGATTAAAAGTCACATTATCTTCAGCACAAGACGGGGTATTGGCTGTATGTTAGTTTGGTCACTTGTTCAAGGAAAACGATGCTCTTCGGCAGGAATCTAAACGTGGACTGTTAGTCTGGAACATCTGGACGAGCCTTTTTTCCCAGACTGATGCGTAGCGAAAACCTGAAAAGAAAGAAAAATAAATAATACTGACGAGCTACTGTAAATTTTATTATTTAAACAATGATTTTTTGTGTTCGGACGAGAGTCGGCGTAAGATTCCATTTCAAAATTGGCCAGCCGCCAGTGTTTGTTGCGCTAAGAATATGAATGGCGAGTAGATAAGTGAGATGTGAGAAGTATGGCACGACAGGTTCGTAGGTAACTGATTTTTAGTCTGATACATGTAGCACTTTGATATTAAGTCAGTCGATTAAATGTTAGCTGAGATGAATTGGAATAAACCTACTCAATAACTATAAAAGTTGGGCGGTCACTTTTTGAATCATTTTAAACTAAACACTTTAATTGCGATTTTTTCCTTGAAGTTTTATGCTTGATTTATAAACTAAATTTTTTGAAGAGAAATTGAGATTGAGAAAGTTTTATCGTAATTTGAGTAAAAAAGTTTTTGAAGTAAACATTTGAAACAATTTCTGCTTCATTTTTCATATGCACTGAAAGCCCGGTACGCCTGGAGCTGAATAATTCACACGAAATAATTGAAATTTACTGCAAACATGATGTAAATGTTCGTTTTGTTGGGGATGCTACTTGCATTAGCAAACGAAAAATGCATTTTTCTCCCAGTCTCAAAGCCAAAACAGCTGCCGTACTCAAATAGATTTCAATATCTGTTTTGAATTTTCCAGAGCGAGATGCATTCATTAATACTAAATTTGACCTATTAAGCACTTTATTTCGATTACTGATTAAATTACTGAATGCTGAATGGATTACTTATGTGATGGATGGTGGTAGTTTCAAAGCTGAAAGCAATCGAACCGGGTCCACTCCTGATTTGTCCAGATGGTTTCATGGAAATTGTTGAGACTGCTTGTCTCTACAAGCACGCTAAATCATTTGGGCTGAATTAAAATAAATTGGTGTTAAATGGTTTTGAGAGTACTGAAGTGCCCGCTTTATCAGATAATTGATGAATTATGTTACACTGATGGTGGTCTAGTTGCTACTTGAACTCGCATAGTTTACTATGTTGAACTAGATCAATAACTAAAATGGGAATATGGAGAAATAGTCACGTATTTACTGAGTACAGTATTAGCAGTTTCCTGTGATAAAAGATCTTTTCTAACGTTTAATCCTGTTCAAATATGTTAAATCAAATTTAGCAGTTATGCACATGTACAACTATTATAGGTAATTATTTCAAATGCAGATTACCTACGTAAACAATCCTGATCTATCTATTTGTAGTATATGTACTAGCAACTAGAGTACAACTTTTTTTTTTGGGAACATCCAGCAATTTGCAACATTTTGCACCATGTGCTACATGTATAATCAATGTAGCAAAAAATATGTAGCCTTTTACAATTTAACAACGCACATTATTGGGAAAGAATTGAGTTTTCTTTGTAAATAGCTGAGGTAAGTAGTGAATAGTTGATTATTATACCGAGTATTGCTTTAGCTATTGGACAAAGTTGTAGTGGTGGTGAGGCACTTGAAAAGAAAATTTCTGCCATTTTTTATTGTCTAAACGGAGCGTTCCTAATATATCTTCAGAATGTTGGAGTTGAATGTTCAGTTGTGAATATATCTTCAGAATGTTGGAATGTTGTTGTCTGTTGATGAAAAACATTTTTATGAATATATAAAAAGCGCCATAACCTATGTTAATCTAACGAAAGGAAAATGTTGCGCGGTTTAAACTGCATTGATTTATTACTTAGGACTAGGCTTAGGTAACACAGTGGATTTTCAGGTGTTCACACAGCGACACCATATTGATACAGCAACACAGCGCGCCACATTTTTTATATGTTGGGAAATAAATGCAGAAGACGCTGTGCTGTGTTTTGTGATGTCTAGTGGTTCGTAAATTCGCTAGCGGTGCAGCGCGTTTAATGCTTTTTTCTTTGGTTTTACTGATGAGAGAGTGGTTTTATTGAAAGGAATGAATGAAGTGGCAATATATTTTCTTCTTGTAAAGCCTATTTGTCTCACAAGCATCTGTGATTGGTTTAGAAGCTGCTGGGTCAGCGCCTACTGATTTTTCATGCAATCTGGTAGTAATCAAAAGACAGGCATTTGCCTTTTTGCTCTGTGGAAATACCGAAATCCCAGAGGTTGCATTGGTACCTGCTACCAGCATCGTATGCAAGCCATATCGAACCGAGATAACGAAGAATTCATCAGTAATCAGTAGGTATCAGCAAAGTATTTTGAGCACTTTCGCTTGTGAGGCTTTATAACGTAAAATAATCCCTGCCGAGAGGGTCAGAAATCATATGGTAACTGCGCGTGGCCTTCACGAACTGCAAACTGAAAATGAACTTATTCAAAGTGCCGCGCCGTAAGTGTCCAGGTGTGGCGACACACAGACCGGGATCAACCCATAAGGGTCTTAAGACATAGTATTACTCAGGCCTACTTAGGACTTGTCGAAAATCTCTAGTCAACACGACTTGGTAATGAGGAATTAATATACGGATACTTTTTTGAATGTTTTGATATGGAACATTTTGAAGTAAAAAGGTAGTATTTTAATGAGTTTTCCTAAAAGTTACATTTTGCGTAGGTCTAAAAAGCCTCTTCGGACAAACAAAGATTACTCACATATAGATACATATACACTCACATATAGATACACATGACACATATTTTTAAAACAAAAAACTTATTTCAATGGCTCACAACACCCTTAAAAATTGTGGGTATATACGGGATGTCAATTTGAAAACTTCTCACCCTTAACACCTTTCTTGCAGTTAAAAATTTGAAAAAAGGGGATACTTTTATTGCATTTGGTCTCCTTAAAGTACAAATGATTAGAAGAGTACGTTACACAAACGGTGTAATTGTATTGTATCCTAATTAGAAATTAGAACTTAGAGCAAAGATGATGCTTATATCAGTCTCAATGATCAGAAGTATGAAGTTCCAAAGTAACAACCAAAATAAAGAAGAGAATGTACAACCCTCATAGCATTTTAAGTAATTTTTACCGTTGCTGTTTTAAGCAACTAAATAATAGGATAAACTCGGGATTACCCAAATAGAGCAAAAGCAGAACGAGCAATAATGCTTCAAAACTAATGGATAAGAGGTTAATAATGGAACAAAAATCTGGCCGCCTCGCTCACCAGATCTTACACCGCTAGATTCGTATCTTTGGGGTTTTATTGAATCTAGAAGTCTCTCGACTGAACTAGGCCTCATTTTGTAAATCAAATGCAATTTTGAAACAACTTGATCCGGACGAAAGGCATGTTCTCAAATACTTATGTACTTGAATAACGAAATGATATTAAATCATATAGAAAATTATTTYCAAACGTTTAATTTTTTTTATATAGGAAATTGGAATTTATTKWAATTGAATWGKKAGTTTGTCTGCWTSMAKAAAACGCAACTTCTGCAAAGTTCTTACATAACATGCACTTTATTGTTTTCCGAAACGCYAMTTGTCTTGCAGACATWSTRTCCGTGATAACTGCATTTTTATGTYGTATAATAAAGSRAAATAATGTGATCCCAGAGCAATAAATGCAACTGCCTAACWAAAAMTGGTTAGTTTCTCAGACCTTTGGACCGTCGTAGAGGACCCTTTCTTTCRTAGAACAGAACATCTGGAAACTGTGTTTCACGGTRACTGACATCCCGAAAAATTTAGTTTSAAACAAAGCCTATCTCGTTTGATCACTTAGWTTGTGTTTCTGATATACTATATCAGAARAAATWAAAAAATCAGTTTTTTATATGACTATAAAATACAATCATTGTACATACTTTCCTGACTGTGTTTCAATTCCAAATCAAATTTAATTCCTGGGTTTCAGTCATTTATTGTCTCTATTTATCAACTAAAATACGTTTCGGTGTATGTAAATACRTATGTGTAGCGTTGTTGCTACYTTAAGCCTTRGCATACATTTGGAGTAATATACTAGTAATATACTACATTTGGAGTAATAAATACAATAAATGACTGAAACCCAGGAATTAATTTTGATTTGGTATAAAATACAATATGTTCCACTATTTCACAAATTCTTAGGTCAGCAATTTTCTGGTCCGTAAGAAAATGAATTGGATAAAAATAGGTAAAACACATGATACTTAAAAAAGAATGAAGCAGATCCAATTGAACYTAAAAATGTTAGAAAACCCTGCGCGTCCCATTAGAAAACGCACCAATATCAGATCCAAAGCATCAAMATTTTAATMATKTTTAAAGTTCAGTTATTTTTAAGTTTCYTTTGCAGTTTACCTGCATTTCTACAAGTGACACTAAAATAAACCACGGATTTTTACTTTTGTTTTACTGAAAATTCACATTTTCTGTTGCATTTGTGTGATATTTCCATAATTTATAAATATGTATATATATTATAAAATAACTTTGTCTCAGGAAGAAAAGGTGGCCACCACGCCAAAATTTTTTTATTTTTTTAAGCCCTTGATTTCGTGAATCAAATTTTGTATGCAAGACATTTCCGATACTTGTTTAGTACTTTTATTAAGTAAATATTGCTTCTATATAATTATTCTTTGTACTGTAAATAAACCAGGCAACAGGCATGTTCCATCCTTAAATTGTAAATGCTTTGGGACAGGTCAATATTATTTCCAAAATTTCTTGTATTTTTTACTGCCGCTTCATTTTGAAAGTAAATGCATTTTTCTGAAGAGAAAACTATCGAAATAAGTTCATCAATACTACAATCTGTTTATGATTTATGGTCTCCTACGAAAGTTTTTCAAAAAGACAGCCGAAACCATCATCTAAAAAACGAGGATTGACGTTTTGCTCGAAACTCATTGTACAATCTCAAAAATACATAATTTATTCAACTAGCATCCTTACAAAGTCCGATTGATACATTGGAAGACGATTTTGACCGAAAAGTCCAAAAAAATGGGCGAGTTATAAATACTGTAAGCGAGTCAACATCTTAGTTGAACACAAAGTTTCTAAAAAAATGCATGTTTATAGT